AGACTCTTTGCATTCCATGCGACTGCATAATCCAGAAGTTGCATCCCAGCATCCACTGGTGCATTGCAAAGATGGTGGGCACACCTCCCAGGCTCCGTGCTGGTGCAGTGGCAAACCTACATCCATCGTCCCTGCATGGGCTGCCGGGCTGCTCCCAGCTTTAAGCATGTCTCCTGCGTTTCACACAGCACGCTTTTTCTCTGGGGCAAAGGGAAGAGGCGGCCCTTCTCAGGCACGAACGCCCTCACACGGGAGGGGGCTCAGAGGGATACACGAGCTGGCCCTCTCCTCCAAGCACCCCGGCCCCATTGCCTGTTGCGTGTTGGACAAGGTCACAGGACAGAGGAAGCTGCCTCACAAGATGCTAAACGAAGGATCTGCCTAACCCAGTACGGTTAGCACTAACTGGCAGCAGTGGCTTTCCAGGGCTTCAAGGGGGAGATTTCCCACTGCCACCTGGAGAGTCTGGAAATCAAGCCTGAGGCCTGCTGCAAGCCAAGCAGGCACTCTGCAACTGAGCCACAGTCGTCCCCCAGAGATCTTCAAAGGGCAACCAGCTGTGCCCACCAGGCTGCCCACACCGGGGGGAACCGCACACATGCAGCTGGCGTGGATGCAGCAGGCTTCCCACATCAGCCCCTCTACCTTGAACGCATGGAGGGCAGTGGGATCGAGTTGCGGTGACCTAATGGAGGGATAAGCAAGGGCCAGTCTATTCCCATTTTCCCCAGACCACGTGAGCCCTTAACATCTGAACAGGGCTGATCAACGTGGCCCTTGTCCGAAGAGGCTTCAGTTCTTAAAACAGGCTGCCAGCTATCTAGACCGGAATTGGGATTGGTGAGCAGCATTCGATCCATCTTGTTTTCACATTTTATATGAAGGCCATAAGCTCTGTCCTCTGCTGGAGGAGGAGGGTTTGCACATCACCCCCCGGGTCAATCAGGAGATACTGAAAAAGTGGGCTGGGGACGGGTCACAGCCTGTTGCACCGTCGGGCTTCATCCAGCCAGGAGCAGGCAGAGCTAACCGATGCAGGCACCACAACTCCTTAGCAGGCCATCTTCCGTTTTGAAAAAAAATGGGCATCTAGATCAGAGAACCATAAATGTTTGTTGCAAAAGTAAAAGATGGGCAATATTGGATATTTAGGATTCTGGTAACAGATCCAAGAGGGCTAGAGTTTAACCCAACTGCCCATTCCCACGGCAACGGAGGAAGCTAAGGTTTAGCATTATCCTATACCTGATCATTTCCCCCTTGTTCTAAACATTAGTGAGCATTTCATTTCTGCACGGCCTCAGTTTCTACCATGATAATGTCATAACAGGAGGTGTCCATTTTCCTGTTGCACAAAGTACGAGTAGAAAGGTCAAAACAAGAAAAAAAAATCTTGTTAGACTTTGCCACTGTAACCGCACACAAACATAACGGCCTATTCTAAATATATACTCTCTTGATAGCAAAATTGGACACCTCAGAGAAACTCCAAATTCACACTTGTAGGTGTTTCCGACTCTGCAGCATCTTTTTCAAATGCATCGCATTCTTGTTGGTAAAGTTAAAAAGGATATGCACACGCGCACACAGATAACAGTCATGAGCCATGGTGTTTCAAAAGGGTTGACCAGCAACTTAGTACATCTGTGGGTACGTTCGTGTAACACATGAAACAGAAAGATGCTCCTTTTCTTTCCCAAACATTTCTCTTTAAATACGTGAAGCATAAACTTTCAGGATAAAGCATTCCATCCCCTATATACACCAAACCCAATTCCCCCTCTTACTCCCCTCTGCACCACTTCGAATCTTTCATTGGCTCCATTTAAAAATATTTACATTTCAGCAATGAAGTAGTAATTTATAGCTTTCTGTGTGGGGTGCCTTTGCTATATGTATGTATGCATGCAAAATGATCCAGTCATTAATGAATTCAGCAGGCAAACAGAGAAGGGTGTTTTTAAAGCGACAGTGTTTAGACCAGGATTTCAGTGAGTGGTCTAACAGCAATGAATGATGGGTGCAAGTTTTGCTGGTTCTACATAAAACCTGAAACTTCAACTCACAGTTAATTTGGGAGCTCTTAAGGTTTAGAGATATGTTACGGCTCTGATCGGGCAAAGCCAACCCTTTCTTGATTTAAACCACCCCAGTTCACTTTCGTGTTTTTAATACCTCCTCTTAAACCCAGCTATGTGCATGTAAGGGCTTGTAGGCTGCACTCAGACCTTTCATCCGTTGCACGTATCCATCATTACCATTGTCCATCCTTGGTAACAGGAATGATTGGGGGCGGGTCTATAATGGGCAAAAGGAGCATTGGTAGCCTTGAGAGTTGAAACGAATATTCACGACCTACTGATTTTCTCCGGATTCAGCTATCAAACACAAAGAGTTGGAACCAGGCTTAGTCATATTTAGAGCAGACCCATTGAAATCAACAAGAGTAATGACTAACTTATGCCCTACAGAGTATAAGAATCATTATATAAGCATCCCAAAGTATCATTAGATGTCAAAAGAAGACGTCAAGGATTCAAATATCTTGAATATTCAGCAAAGATGCGAGCATTCAGTGAACAAGAAAATTGTCAACATCAAAATTCTGAGAGGGGAATTCTTTGCAGCAAATTTGCTTCAGGTCTAGGAGTCGCCATTGCATTAGTATTTTCCTTTTTCTTTCCTCTCCTCTCCTTTGCTCTGCTCTGCTCTCCTCCCATTTTTTTTATTTGGCAATGACTTAGATGACTGCAGAATTTAATGATAAAACCAACAGTTTATCACATTTTAATGTGGACCGAGACACTCTGAAAATTCACAAAGCATCACTAAGAGACCAGTACATTTAGCAGAAGGCGACTGAAGTCAAGATGCTCCAGAACAAGTCCAAATTAGTGGCTCTGTGCAATAGGGGATGTTAATAGGGCTAGAATTGGTGAAATTAAATTTTATGGGAAGGGGAGACTGAACCATTATCATAGTTTAAAGAATTTTGATATTTTAATATTTAATTCTAACTTATCTCTGGATGCCATCCATTCATCCATCCATCAATGGATTGATCGATCCAAGCCACAGGCCTCACTGTGAAATGCATGCATCAATTAGCATGTAGAAGTAGAGTGACTGATTGTTTGATTGCTGCTTATAAACAAAGCCACATTGAAGGCAGATGATTGTTAAGAAGCAAACATGGAATACAGAAATTAAGCCTGCAGGAAGGTGAAATGTGAACCTTTTAGGAGAACAACTGTTGAGAATTTTTCAGGTAATATGGTGAAAGTGTCCATTCTGTTATAGTTTCCAGTAAAGAGGGTTTGACACTATTTGCACCACCTGTTTGTCCCAGAGATGACAGTGGGGCAAAACAAGTGCACACGGTATGGGGTGATGCTTCTATATTAAAATTTCTATCAATCACAGAAAGTACTATCTTCAGGTACTCTTCTTTAATACGTTTCTGCAAGACATGGGTGTTTAGATTTCCAATTACAGGCAGTCCCCAAGTTACGAATGTCCAAGTTAATAAACAACTTGTACTTATTAAAGCCTGTTAGTTTTTTTTTTTTAACCACTGCAGAAAAGTGTCATTACCACAGAAAGAGAGGAAGTGAACGAAGAGAGAGGTCCCCCAAAGCATTATTACCATAGAGAGAGAGGAAGTGAAAGGGTAGAGAGGGAGGCCTCCAAAGCATGCAATCCCTCCGGCATTTCCTTGCTGCTAAGTGGAGGCACTCCGGAGTTGGGGTGGTGATGTGGCTTAGAGGTATTTATGGTTTTTCCATGTGCATGGGGGTCCTGCACCTCTCACCTCTGTAAATGTGAAGGGCTGACATGATCCGACTTACATACAAATTCAACTTAAAGACAAATCCCCCTTTTCCCAGTAACAGAATTTATTCATAACCTGGGGACTGCCTGTATGACACAGAAATGTTGATAATAACTACAGCACCAGCAAAATAGAAAGCCAAGGAGTAACATGGAAAGAAGTGTGTGAGTTAATTCAACATTTGCTTTGCTGCTATCAGATTATGTTTGCTTTTGCGTTATTGGGTTCAGTTAATTAGTAATGCCAATATTCTCATGATCAGGCAGTCTTGATTTTTAATTTAGTAGAGCTGGTACAGATTAATTTCACCCTTTAGTTCAGTTTATAAATTGTTTCATGAGTTAAAATCCAGATTTCTAGCCTTACTGGAAATAAATATTAAAAAAAGACCTGAACCAAATTCACTGTGCCCACTGGGTTTCCGTGTGGGATAATACAGGAGCTGGGATCTTGCAGGAGCATACATGAGTGTTTTGTGGAGTCCTGTGCGTCAAGGGGAATTCTCATTGGGCTACTGAAAAAGTGTGCTTAGTTTTTAAAAATTAGACCCACATGTTTTACAGGAAATAAAAAAGACCATGTTTAGGCTTAGGGTCACTTTAGGATTCACCATTACTTCAGGGTGCATCAGCAAAATTACATCTCTCACCCTTCTTGGTTTATGATGGTAAATCATCAAATCCCACTGTTGAGCAACTTGCTTTTAAAATGAAAGGGATACGGTGCCATGCCAATTCCAGTCTGTACTATGATTGTATCAGTTTTATGTCATTTTAACCACCAGAACTGTCATCCTAAAGATGCTGGGAACTGTAAGTAGATAAAGTGCAGCAACCCTTTGTAGGAGACGGAGTGGCCAGTTTAACGTTGTGAGCTTGCTATGGCCAGAGACAGCTTTCCCTAATCTGGTCCTCACCAGATGTGTTGGACTACAGTTCCCATCATCAACAGATTGGGGAAAGCCTTTCCCAGAAAACTCCTGTCCCTTTAAAGCTCTGTGTGGCCAGGAGAAGCTGCCTGTGCAAAACTGCTCCCGGCCTTGCAGAAAAGCACAGCCAGGCTGAGGCAGAACAGAGGAAGTGCTTTCCACAACATCTTTCTCCCCTTCCACAAAAAATACTGCTGCTTCATTTGTGTGAGTGTGCATGAGGGGACAGGTTCTGGGGATCGGGTTATCATGCAGCCGATCAGATTGCGCCACATGATGACATCACAGAGGGTAGATGTAACTGCTTCTTTAATAGGTGTTAACCTCACACCGACACATCCTTGTTTGACCTTGGTGATATCGCATGGCATAGTCTGATAGGCTAAAATTAAAGCTACAAGTGGTGCTGAAATTCTAGTTGATAGGGACTGTGGACCCTAGCAAAGAAGGGTGAAAAAGTACACACTTTCTTTTTTAAATGAAAAATGCCCGCTGGTGAACATTTCTCATTGCCCTGTCAAAAGCATAGAAAAATCCGTAACAGTCAGGAGTCAGCTCAGCCTAGGTTAGAAATGGTTGTGCAAACATGCGCATCTGCAAAAGACAAACCCTCTTGCATGCTTCGGCCTAGAAAACCATGGTGAAGGACTAATCTTCATCTGTGAAGACTCCAAGGCTTGCTTTGAAGACGAGCCCCCTGCTGTGACCTTGGGATCACATTTTAAAGGCAGGGCTGAGGGACAGTGCCACCCTTAAAGATCGCTGCTGAATACTTCAGGGATGTGAGGACAGGACTGCTCCTGTGGAACTGTCGCCTGACCTGTGGGGCTGTGCAGACCCGTGGGCTGGGTGCTCAGTGCCCAGGACTTGCCATCTTCACTGGGTAGCCTGGTCTTGTAAGGCTCCACGTAGATCCTGCGGATGCTAGGCCTCAGTTCCTGGTATTTGCCTTTCCCTTCTTCTGGGAGGCTCGAAGCGTGAGGTAAGAAGGGGCTGCGTGGACAATCAATAGAAATGCTTATCTGCTCACCAGAGGTAGACTCCTGTGAGAACTCAATGGCTCGTGTGAGATGGGGTGTGTAGAGACCCTCCGAGAGGGACATGGATTGGGTTTCACTGTGCACACGCAGCCAGCGATGGTGTCGGCTGAAGTAACTGTAGTGCTGATGCTTTCCATGCTTCTTCTTTCCTAGGAAACTCAAGGGCTGCCTCAAGCCAAAATTCTTCTCCGTACTTTTGGGCGAGAGCCCTCCTATGGACAAGTTTTGCATGGACTCTGTAGGCTGGTCAACATCCGTCTCTAAGGAGCTGCCTCCTCTTGGGTTCTGCTTTGGAGTCAGGCAAGGTTTGATGTCGTGGACCTGGAGGACATCTGGTGCGCTGCCGCTCAGACAGCTCACTGCCTGATGGGATATGTCCTGGGAGGATGAATAAACCAAATCCAGCTCCCGAGGACTCAACGCATCGCTAGAGTCATAGTCACTGTCAGTTGGAAGGAACACCTCAGAGCAACCTTCTTCATCTGAGTACGCCTGGGAATCTGCTAACAGAAGAATAAAACTGAGTAACTACTGGCAGATCACGCATCTCAACCAAGTGCCCCACTGTCTCCTGCAAGAGGCACCCTGAAACAGATCTGCCTCAGTCACTGCCCAAACGTGAGGCGGACTGGACACTGGGGGAGGGCTTTTCCAGGTATGAAGTGATATGCAGCTGGTCTTCCACGAGTGAGTCCTGCAGCTATTGGTGGACCTGGAGGCAGTTCCTGCAATGCCCTTGAGGCCCCGACATGGTGGGAAATTCGGTCAGACACCACTGCTGGAGAGCCCTACCAGGATACTGGGGTTGAAACAGACAAGGACTGGGGAAGCATGTACCTTTCATTCACATTTAGTGGAACGGTGGAGGTATCTTAGCTCTGTCTTGACATTTGGTTATGATTACAATCAGTTGCTACGTGTTATGCTAGATCCTGTTCTGTCATCCATCAGTGTTAAGACAAATAGATTGATAGTGTCTAGGAAGTGCAATGATGTTGGATTTTTCATAATTTGCTTTATCAGTATCTTGCAAATTTTAGTGTGTGCAATTTCATGCAGTTTAAATTAAATCCTTTCTTTTTGCAGTACTGGGTTCTACCTGGTGATACATTTTTCTATCTATATCAAATTTTATATGACCACTTGGTTATATTAACTTTTTGTTTATGCACAGGAATGGTCTCTTTGTATGTGCTAGTATGTATAGAATTAAAGGTGCAATTCTGTGGGTTAGATTGGTTCATTTGGTAGTTGAAGGCTACATCGAAAGTGCCAGGCCAAATGAATAGAGGCTGCTCCATCTACGGAACGAGGTGTTTGCATTCAGAAAGTGCCTGGCCTACTCCATAAATTGTAAAGGCCTATTTCTAAAGAGCAGTAACAATGTATGAATAAATGCCAGTGAATTTTCAGTGAGCTGCTGCAGGGCTAGAAATGCAAATTATGTATTTTCAAATTGAACTAAAGCAATAAATGCTCAAAACCTTGAAACACAATATTTGTCTACCTCCTGCCCAACTACATATTTGCCCATATCTGTTGTGTCCATTCCTCTGAGATTAGGCAGAGTGTCAGTAAAAGAAGATGCTTTTGTGTTTATGAGGATTTTAGAGGCTAAATGTTCCCCCTGTGGTCTAGGGTCACAGCAGAAAGAACATTTTTCCTCTTGTTTTAGAGGTAGGCTTGGTGATCCTACGGTACTAGCAATACAGCATCAAGCATATGCAAGCATGGGCTCTGCACAATTCAGCCCGGAATGGCTATATGTCCAGCACAAAACTTGAGGCGAAAATGCAGGTGCTAGAAAAAAAAAAAAAATGGAGTAGTTGCAATGCCTGCTGGTGCTCTGAGAAGGTTCACAACCCCCCACAATTTATTTCTAGCCTAACAGTTTGTTAAACGCGCTCCTTTTCTGTGTGCTCTTCCCATCTCGAGTTCCCGCTTGTGTGCTCCAAGCATGCGTGACATGAGGACAGGGCAACGCAGCTCCACACAGCATCTGGCACTCCTTGTCCCCCCCAACAAGATAGAGTGACGTTAGGTAGCGCAACGTGGATTTGCCGTGACTGTTTGCAGAGCCACTCCGAAGCTCAGATTGTGGCATGGCAGGGTGGGCAGAGGGGGCGGAGATGCTGCTCCCACATTCTCTGCGGAGCTCAGTCAGCCTGCTGTAACAGTGGTGCCACCTCTTCCGTTTGGGTAAGCTTACACTGCAAAGGAGAGATTCCCAAGGGAGCATAGCAGTATAGCTATGTCTTATGAAACAAACAAATAAATAATAGGCTTTTATTTTATTGTGGAATGTTTGGCACTGTTCATAAGTGGCTTTGTCATATGTTTTCTACTATGTATGGAAGGGTTTTAATTTGGTGTAAATAGCCCCAGCTGGGTTTAACTGTTGGGAGGTACAGAAATGATGATGATGATGATAAGATCTGGCAAAGTCTGCTCTTTGCTGGTGGAGTTACCTCAACAAGAGGGAGATTTCTGAGACAGACTGGTAGCACCCTGCTTCCAAAGTGAGGAAATTAAAACAGGCAGAATCCCGATCCACACTCCTGCAGACCCTCCAGTGTCCGAGGACACGTGCCAGTCGCTGGCAGGCACAAGTGGGAGGGCCATTGCGGGAAGAGTTGCTAGATTGAGTCCAGCTCTTCTAAAATCATTATGTTCTTATGCCTCTGCATACATAAACCAAAATAGTTTTGATACTGATATGAAATCAATATTTGATTTCATTTTGGTAGTGTTTCCCAGATTTTTAAAAATCTGTTTGGGTTTTTTCGAGGGTGTGTGTGCAAATTGTGGGATTCTGTAGCATCTATCAGACATTAATTTGTCTTCACGTGGATGTTGTTATTATTTTGCCCTCTCCCTTCCCTTAGCTGCAGAAAATGCAAGTCAGCCTTTCTGAAGTCAGTTTTCTTTGGAGGAGAGCCCCCTGAAGATTTTTGTCATGGATGGATAACATTTGGTGCCTGTACGAACCACACGGACCTCACTGACTGATGACCAGGAGGTTATTTAGCTTTATTACTAGTTGCTCGGTATGGCTCTTGGCAGTGGCACTTCGGAGGGCGAGCCAATTAATGAGCTTCCCATGCCTGCCACCTCTAAACTCACCCGAGGTATGTCGCTTCCTTGCTCCTAATGTTCCAAAAGTGATTGTTCAGGTACTATCTTGGGCAATCTTTAACTTTTCAGGTAAAGTGCTATTAGGATTATATGGTTAAGAGAATTATTAGGATGGGCTATTACTTACTGGCATTTGTTCTGATTGCCCATAGGGAAAAGAGAAAATCTCTAGACTGACTTAGCTGCTAACTTGAATTTCACATTGTGAGCTAAAATTATAGATCTACAATGTGTCTTTGATTTGCAGTGCTAACCTAGTTTTAATTAATGGCAAATGATGCTTTCAGACTTTTAGGTGTTAAGTAAAATATCCAGCAGGTAGACTGACTTATACTGAGCCCTATGGTGGGTTTAAGTACCAATAAAGCTAGAAAAAGTAAAGCTCATTCTAATCCGGTCAACTGGATGGCTGGGTTAATGAGAAGACCAGGTTCTTTTGAAGGGCAGTCAGGCAGATGCTTCAAAAACAGACATTTAAGATTGGGACTAGAGTAGATTAAAAGCACCTCCAAGAGAACTGCACAGATGTCTTGTCAAAACATCTGCAATTTCACCTGCAATATGTTATTAACTCACAGTCGTGGCGGTGGGAAACAGGCAGTGCAGAAAACTGGCGTGGTGATGCCAAGGGCATCAGGGCCAGAGGGGAGCTGAGCAGGTAGAGGGCAGATGAGAGCTAGGGCTAGCTGCTCAGCAGACATACTCAAGCCGTCCGTTGCCCAGAGTGAATTGGAGCCTGACCTGGAAGCTTTAACCAGGACACATGAGGCTAATGAAAAGCCATGATGCAGCTTGTCCATCTTTCCTTCTGTTGCAGACCAGAAATTCCCTGTTCCATGAATGGAGAGGAAAACAGGCAGACTACAGAGCCCATACTTCCCTGCCCTTCTCTTCCTGCAGCCATTGGGTGAAAGTCTTCATTTGCTGCTCCCACCAAACTAGCCTCAAACTCCCTGGATCTCAAGGTTCAGGTATCTAATTTAGGAAATGTGGGAATAACCTACTAGAGCTGCAGGAGGGTCATCCAAAAGGAAAGAGCCACAGAGTTTCAAATAACAAAATTAAACATTTTACTGAGGAAAATTGTGAATAATTAAATATTTTAAAATTTGAATGGATACACTGCACATGCATGCGTGCACACACACAGGGGGGGAGAGAGAGAGAGAGAGAGATCAACCAAGTGAGCAATAGGGTAATAATCAGGGATAAATGTATCTAAGTAACCTTACTTGACAATGTCCCTGTTTTACCCATGACCCTTATTCAAGCAATGCCTTACTGTAAGTTCATCACTCTGGCGGCCAGTTCTCCAGTCCCAGCAGCTCTGGCTTTCTTTTTGGGCTTCATTATCTCTTCCCTTCTGTTTCTTTCTAACTCTGCTTTAGGCTTTTTACTTTAAAATTAGCTCTTTCCCTCCCCTGACTCCCACCGCCCAGGATGGTGCTTTCTGTTCACCATTGTCCCTGATTCCTTTTTCTAAGCTCTTCCTCTGACCTTCCCCTGAACCTCCTGCAAACCAGGGGTTTGCTTTTTCGTTTTTTTGTCTTTGTCCAGAGACATGCTGGCTTCCTATCTGACTAAGCTTTTGTCTTGAGCTACGTATCAACTGTTGGCTTCTTGAATAAACACCGTGTCTCCTAGTAATATAAGTAAATGTTTGACTTTACTTATATTGTACATTACAAAAAAGATTTAACCTTATAATATAACCCCTCCCTGCTGCCAAAAGCCTCAAACTTAATACAAAAAATTGAGGACAGTTTTGTGCCTTTTTCCTTGCCTTAAAACATTTTGCAGTGGTTAAAAAAATGGAAGCAGTGGAAAACGCATAAGGGTTACCAATGGAAAAAGACACTGGCCCCCCAACTCCTTAAAATCCTGGAATGAGGCAAAGTGATTTCACACCAAAAGCCATGCCTGGAAGCACTCTAGGTCTATTTTCTCAGGTTATGTTCTAAGGGTGATTTAATGAATCCAATGACTGTTCAGGATATGCTGAACAGATCTGGGTCCTTCCCTCCTGCCATGCTCCAAATGATACACAGTAATTCCTAGGAATGTGTCTGTCTTCCTCACCCTGCTTCTAGCTAGTTTGCTAATTCTAAGAGAAGAAAATGCAGATCTGAGCTATATATTACAGGTCGCATGGGGATCAGCACCACACACATCCAAGCACACCAGCTGTATGGTTTCGTGGCACTCCTCACACGAGCTGGCACATTATGCAGTGGGTTCTCCAGGCCGTAGGTGCAAGCAAAGAGAGAGGAAACTCTCTAAAGGACAAGCAATTCTGACAGAGTGAGTTCTACGGAATCGCATGGGCAATGGGAAGGGCTTTGCTATCACTTGCCCTGTGGTGAGCGTACCACGAGCAACTTTGTGGTTTTCAGGGTGTCTACATCTGAAGGGAGTGAAGAAATGTGCCTTGACTGAAGGGGCTAGAAATGTTTGTGCCTTACCACTCACGGCTTTCCTCCTGTGGGTCTCCGTTTCTGGTGAAGGTGGTGGGGATGGAAGACAATCCAGATGGGAGGAAGTTGAGCTTATCTTCTTTTGCACAGGCTCTTCTGAGAGATCCACGATCTTCATTACCGGCAAGCCTGCAGCTGGCTGCCTGTACCGTGCATACTGGAGCGCTTCATTGATCCATCTCATTTCACGCCAGATCTCATCAATTTGCTATGTGCAAGGAAAAGGGGGCAGAGGGTGTTTAAAAAACAGCAACATTGGCTTGGATTTGCTTGACCAGTTTAAATAAACACCTTATTGCTAACTGCACATGAAGGGCAGCTATGGTGACCACCGGTTTCTGTAGCCTAGATGAGGTTAAGGAAACCCTTCGTTGATTTGGCTCAGCCTCCTCTGATCCCTAAGGATGAACAGCCTTGTTCTTTTCCAACCTTTTTCCAATTCCCACATTTCCCAGCCAACAGCCATGCTAGTTGGGAATTACTGGGGTTGTGGTGCATCTTGGCAGGCAGCAGGTTGGGGAAGTGAGTCTCTGGTTGATCCTAGTACCTCAGCCATACATTTGAGGGCATATGGTGATTTTGGTGAAAAGGTTGTGTCTTTCCTTTCTGGCTGGGACACAGAGATGGCTACTCATGGTTTACTAACACCTAGATTTTTATGCAGTTGTGTCCCATACATGGTACTGCCTTTGAAGATGGCTCTGCTTCTGGTGCAAAACACAATGGCTGATCTCCTAAAAGGATGCTGTGTCAGGACAGAATGAAATGTTAAATGTGAATAAATGTACCAAAATACAGAGATGGCCAATTTTGTTAGAGAAAAGCCAGACCAGAAGGGGAGCATTTTGTAGAGGAAAAGTGAGTAGGAAAGGGGCATGGTTTTCTCCTTTCTCCTCCTCACGTTTTTCCTGCAGGAGGTTCAAAAGGCAAACAAGAGGAAAAGCTTTTGGGGGAATTCTAGTGGAAGAGCAACTAATGGGGCAAAGATGAAGCACGACCCTCCCTGCTACTCAGCTGATCTAGATTTCCTTTTTCTGAAGTGGCATTCCCCTAATAAAATTTATCACTGGAGTTTGGCACCTGCAGTTAGGAGTAATATTTAGTTCTGACTTCAGAAGTATACTGTTGTGATGCTCCAGAGTATTCTCTGCATTCCACCTGCAAGCTTTATCTGCCTTATTCCCAGTCGAGGTATGAACTTCCCACTTAATTCATTTGAACAAGAAAAGCATGCCTTTAAAAAAATCCCTCTGTGGACTAAAACGTGAAAATGTGATCTTTTCTCCAAACTGTGCATTTTGGGCATACATTGTTTTGAAGTAGGCATTTTTTTTCAATCAAGCATCACATTCCTGGAAATGTGCAAGTTTTGCCCACAAAATGTATTCATGTTTAGTGGTGTGAGTGATTTTAAAGTTCTGGGCTTAAACGAATGGAAACAAAATTCATGTATACCCCTAAACATATGGTGGAAACAGGGCAAAAACACATAAGTCCAGTTTGGACTAATAATGGGGTGGGGGGAATGAACATGCCCTTTGTCCACACATACAGGTTGTGCTCATATGATCATGGAAGCCAGAGAAGCTACTGTGGCTTCTGTTTCCCACCTCCCGTGTGCCAGTCGTGTGTGGCGCAATCCCCCTAATTATCCTTGGGTGCATCGCTTCCCATGTCATCTGAACCCAGTGAGATGCATGATGGGGGTAGCTTCAGAACTACTCCAGAACCATAAAGCAAGCCATGGGTTCTTCGGTGGCTCCAAAGCCATTACCTGCCACATACCTTGCCAGGTTTGGACAACATGGGATGCTACCCTCTGTGATTGCGATTAGGCAAGTCACGTCGTGCACGACGGGCACACTGGGGATAAACGACACTGCAGTTTATTTTATCCTGTGATCGTGCAAACCCATCATTTTCTAACCCAGACATTAGGTGAACTGGCCCTGGCTTGAGTATGGACTTCAGCGAGCCTGGGCGTGGCTGAAACATGAGCCTCTTTCATACATTAACAGGGAGCCTCCATGAGCACGGGGGATTAACATCATTACCCGGCAGCGTGGCTTGTGCCATACAAACCACAGCCAAGGTGTTGGGTGGCTTGTCACCCATGGCAAAACGCCACCCTGGCCAGGTGAGCACCAGAGCAGGCTGTGCTGCCGGGAGGGAATCACTGCTACTGGTATGTGCAGGCAGGAGAAATACATCACAGGGACTCACTTCCACTGCAGGATCATAGCAGTGCCTGTATGGAAGGCGGTACACAGGCTTGTGTGAATGAATGTTTGCCCACCCTAAACCCCTATAATACATCAAGGATATAAGTTACCACTCGTCCCCTTAAGCAAATAATGGAGACATATCACTATTTCAGTTCTAAGTGTCTGACAATAGTAAATTCTTCCTTTTTATTGTTTTATATCTGTTACTGTATTTTAGATCTTTATATTGCTGCTGGACTTTATGTTGGTTTCATATTGCAGATTTAAACTTTTCAAAGTTTTGTAGTATGTTTGATCATGCTGTTGTATTTTATGGTTTCAACTGCTGTGAACGGCCCAGAAAGCTTCAACTGTTGGGTGGTATAGAAATGCAATACATAAATGAAATACTGAAAGTGTTGAAGGACCTATTATTCATAAGACCACCTCCACCTTCCCATTCAATTGTCATCCAGTTGAGCCCAATATATTTAATAAAACATTTCAAACCGCTCCCTGGTTCTGTCACCAACACAGCTCTCAAGGACCCTCATGGCAATAGCGCAGTTGTATGAGCTATGCCTCTTAAGAGTGTCTGACACATTACTGTACATATAAATTATAACTTAATTGCAAGTTCAGCTGCAGATATTCAGCTCAGTATGGTCATTCTGAAATATTTCTTTTCTCACTCCCCAATAGTCTGTTTTAGACACAACATACCTTATCACCTATATATAGATTTTTACTTTCTGGTTTCTCTCCAGTTCCCATTTCAAAACGGCTTTTATGGACTCCTTCACTCTTTACAATGTTTGGTTTGTGTAGTGACTTCAGCACTGTCTTAGATCGAGGATCATACAAATGCTCTTGCGGTTTTGTGGTCGCTGCTGAAGATTGTGGTATGTGGTGGGCTGAGGGATCCCCCCCCCTTCCTCTAGCCAATAGGTAGAATACAGCTGGTTTTAATTTGAGAAGGAACCTGACAAGTCTAATACACTGTCACAATAATTTGGTACAAAACACTGTGGTTTTTTTTAAGGTCTGCTACATTTCCATCAATCGTGAACAATCATGAAACTGAAAGCTTAAATCCTTGTCTTCTCTATGAAATTTAGGCTAAGACCAGAGCAGGCCCCTATGTTGGAATTCTTAAATTTTCTATTTCATGTTTTTTTTTTTAAACTGCTTTCTTTATAAATCTGCCTTCCCCAACCTAATGTCCTCCAAAGTCTGCATCCCCAGCTGGCTGGGAATGATGGGAGTTATAGTCCAATTCATCTGAAGGGTCGTAAGCTGGGGAAAAACTGCTCAAGTGATGATACAAAAAAAAAAATGTTCATGTCAGCTTTTAGAATACATACATGCTTCCACATTTTGGGTCTGAAATCATTTTTCTGAAATGAAAAATTTGCACATGGTCAGCTGTTCCCCTCTCTAAAACTGCAGTCTTGTGCATGTTTAGCCAGGGAAAAAACCCAATCCTACAACTCCTAGAGAGCCAAACTGTAAAGTTTTCTTCCTGCTTTTCTGTGTAAACATGCATAGGATTGCCCCTTAAGCGCTCAACCCTTTGTTTACTATGTCATAACACTGGTGTTTGGGAACAACAATAAAAAGACCTTAGGTTTAAGGCTGGAGCGGCAAGGGCACGGGTGGCGATTTTTATCAAATTGCGAACTGGTGGATGTGGGCACAGTCAGAGGGGGATCGTTGCCAAGCATCTGCCCCAAAGACTGGGTGCTGAGGAGATTATCGTCAGGCCCAGGCTGCTTTGATGAAGTTCTAACTTTAGGACTACCCCAAGGGACATGGATCGCAAATTGGGTGGGGCACGAAATGGGGCGAAATCATGTGCAGCTTGCAAAATCTTTCTAGGCCGGGCTGTGCGAGGCAGAGTCTTTCTGTCGTGCTGCTCAGAGGGGATGCTAAGGTGTGCTCCGTGGGCTGGGGCTGCCCTGGCAGCTTCCAGAGGAGGCAAGCAAGGGGAGGGAGGGAGGCAGGAGAGCCGCCATCCACTCCTGGTTGCCCGCTTCCCTGCCCGCCTCCGGAAGCCGGCCACACCGCGGAGCAGCGACTGCTTCGTTGAGTAGTGCTGCTCCACGCAGTCGCTCAGCCTTTCGTTCGCTCAGCAGGAAGGATCGGGCAGCTGCAAGTGACAGCTCCAAGACCCTCTCTCCAGTTGCTCCCTCTGGACAACTGGCTCTGTATCCTGTCTCTTTGGGCAATGCACTGGGAGGAATTAGGCCCAGCCATTCGGCAGGAGCGATCAAAACGGGGAGCAGGCCCAGCCTTTCTCTGCGCACTCGCCCTGTCTCTCAGGTTGGTGCAGAGGTGGCTTCACTGGACCCAGTCTGCACTGCCGTTCGGAAACAGGCAGCTTGCAAACAGGTGGGCGAAGGAGGCAGCCGCTCTTCCCTGCTGTGGAGGAAAGCCCTCATGTACTTCCACCTGTGTGTCTTTCTCCAGTATGCTTTCTGGCCCTTGCTGAAGCGAAAGGAAAAAGGCCCTTCACTGTTTGGAATGCAATAATTTCTCCTGACCCAAATGCCTTCTTTTCCTTCCAATAAAAGCATCAGTGCTAAGCACCTTTTCAAAAACATGTGCACTTCATGTCATGCTGAGTTAGGACTTGAAAAGTAAATCCTGGGTTGCAATCAATGGGACTTGCTTTTGAATCGCTATTGCAAGGGTCCTGCAGTAAATTTTCTGCAGTAAGATGCTGCTTCCACAAGGGGGGCTAATGAGCTGGGACAGTCTTCTGCTATAGCCCATTGAATTGAACTGGAGGTAGGCAAGGGCGCAGTTCTTTATCCAATGGTGCTTGTGCAGGAGAGCCTCCTGGTGAACGGTGCCCCTTGTCTGGTCTGTTTCTTTCCCACCCTGCAGCTTTTTATTAGGTCTTGGAGAATCCGCGAGGCTCCCGGTTGCTGCGTTTCTACGAAGATCTACCTTTCAACTCGGTCTACCTTGTTCTTACTCCCAGATGTAAGTGCCTGTTGTTGTTCTGACAGGAAAAACATGCACCCAAATGCATATTTTCTCTCCATCCACTGAAGCATTAAAAAGCACACGTACTTTTTCACAGTGCATTTTTAAAGGAGCACCTTTCCCTAAAAAATAATTTCGTGCATTTGATTGAAAACTGAGGAATATGTGAACTTTGCTCCAATAGTGTGCTTGCCTTTTGTTCCAGGATGCAAATGGAGAACGTTACGGTAAAAAATGAAAACAAAATTTTCACACATCCACGTGGGGTCTTCATCATACTCAAATGAGTATGGCCTGATACTGCTGATTCACATTGCCTTGTGGTAGGGCTACCTCCGTCCAAAGAAATAGAGGTTTGGAGGGCAGTTTCCATTGCAGACTGACAGCCAGGTGGGGGCGTGGGGGGAAGCTTCACTTTAAAGGAAGAAAGGCTGTTATCCAAACTAAATTGCAATACACCGCTTTTTGCTTATACTAGAAGGGGAATGGGATTTATAACCCAAACTGACACACTTCTCTATAACACTCCAGTATAACTGTCATATGATTTTATCCATGAAATTCTCTCCAAAAGCAAGCAGGCAAGGGAAAGGGGGAGGGAAGAGCTGCAGAGTGGCTACTTCATAAAACCCAAATTGTATTTTGACACTAAACGTCTTTATGCTGTGCCTTGCCCAACAATTCGCCATTTAGGTTCCAAATTACAGCTCCTGCTAGAAATCACCTTTGACTAGTCAGAAAACAGACTGTTACCTGTATGTAATCTAGGACTTGCTGGTGTCTTTGTTTAGCAGCAGCGACTTCACTGTCTGAAATGGCTTCCCTTAGGGACTGCTGGGTGCTCAGAAAATCCAGCTCTATGACAGCAGAAAGGCGGCAATACAGACTAATAAATTTCTCCTTGTAACTGCAAAAATGAACTGCAGAGACAACAAAGCACAGAAGAAAGTGTGTTAGATGCAAAGCTCTCAAAAGCTTTCCCTTTCTGAGGAGCTCGACAGAGATAGGTTGCTCCTCTTGTGTTTTCCCCAGAAACCAAGCATCATCCCGAAGTTGAGTGACATTTCCTAGGAGTCAGCCGTCTTAGCTCGTGACGGTGAAAAGAACAAAAAGTGTTGTGGTATCTTAAAGTCTAACAGATGGATGGGGCCGACACTTTCATGGTGCTGGGCCTACTACAGGTGTGGAATGAGAGGAGCACGGTACAAAAAGGGCTGCAGTACTCCAGCACTTGCTTTGTGAATGGTTCACTTTGTTCTTCTTTGTATGCATTTGGGATCTGCACAGAAATGTCATACAGTGACTAGTATTCACGCACCCAACTGTTTACAATCCCCTCCCCTCCACAACCATCTGTGTGTGTATCTGTCCACTAAGGATAACATTTCATGCATTGGACAAAGTATAAAAGCCTGGGCCAGATGAAAGCTCATCTGTTAAGTCTTTAAAGCAGATAAAGATGAGCTTTTCTATTGCATTGCTTTCTGAGGTTATAAGACATATGCACATTCATGTATGCAGAGAAATCTGAATCAGACAGAACGAACACTTAAACAAGGATGTGTTCGCACATGCATTTGTATCACTCAATGATAGCAAGTTCTGGTGATGATGCATGCAGGATTGTCCACTGTGGTTTAAGCATCTCAGACACCCTTTCCACTCCAAGGACAGCCTTTTTCAATGCTAGCCATTCACAGAGAGTAGAATGAGCAAGTAGTGTCTGTGTCTATGTGCGTGAGCTCCATGCTTGGGTCTGTGTGGTGGTAGCCTGAATCTATAGCCATGAATTGTGCCACAGATGCTTGTGGATGAGCAACTGCTTGCACCATCCATGAGCGTTCGGGACGAAAGAGGGACTTCTTCTTGGCACGCATTGCAGGACCAGGGAGACATGGGTTCTTCAGGAGGAGAGGAGGGGCCCTGGGAAATGGGGTCTCCAGATTTCGAGATGGAAGAGGCAGGAGAGTTTCTCTCAAGGCTGTTCTCTGCAGGCGTTCAGCCAGACCCTGAGAATAGCCAGAGTCTGCAACTGCTGGGAGGGCCATGGGACAGGAGCAGGCAGGCCCGGTACGATTCTTGACCCTATGAAGTGGGGTCGTCTCGGAAGAGAAGGGCCGCCCACCAGAGGGCTGGTGTACAGCTCTGAGCCTGGCTGGTCTCCAGAGGGGCCCTCTCAGAGGAGTGGGGCCCAGGAGGGTTCTTGGAAGTAGTTTCTTGTGTGGATTCAACAATCTGCTCTGTGCATGGTCAGAGACGCTTTCTTTGCTGATTATGCTTTGCTGGATGAGCACTGGAGAAAAGGAGCTTTTACCAAAGAATGGTCTGTTGTTTTGAAAGGGCAAAGGGGGAAGCCTAGCTCCCACCAATGTCTTGATGTGAAGCAGACCTGCATTATGAGTGCTATGTTGCCCTCCGAAACATGGGATTGTAGCTCCTCCAGTCAGGGGGCAGCCACATCCCTCTCTGGCAGTTTTGGCAAAGGAAGCTGCAGTTTTGGTTACAGACGCTAAAATCTGGTGCTGTGGCCCTTGCAATATTGTTGGACAACTCTTATGTGCCCCAGCCAGCATGCGCAATGGACAGGAAAGATAATGGTTGCAGTTCAACAACATCTGGAAACATCAGGTTCCCCACGTGTCACAAAAAGGCCTGTGGCTTCAGTGAAGACTTGCTCCATGCAAAAAGTACCCGTACTTCCTGCCCAAATATGTGATGATGTCATGCAAGTTTATTCTTCCGTTACAGTCACATATGGGGAAGCTGATGGGATGGGGCACAAATGAGGTCCTAGTCATTTTGGAATAGCAATCAGCATATTAAAAAAAATGAAAATGGCCTTCTCTCCCAGCAAAAATAACATGCACAATTCAGTTCTGTGGTAAACCTAGATAGGACCATAGTAAGCTGCCCTGTATCAGCTCAGACTATTTAACCAGTTAGTTCAATATGGTCTACTCTGAGTGGCAGGAGCTCTCCAGCAATTCTGGTAGAGAGACTGACCATTCCCTTCACTTGGTAACTGTGAATTCTGCACAGATTATGTGACCTCGCAGATTTTTATTTTTTTTAAACTTGGGGGCAATTTGCAAAAATTTGCACTGTGCTTGTTTGATAATGTGCAAACTTTCAATACAGCTAGAGAAGCTGACCCATTTTTAAAAATCACCCCACAAAGCACTGCATACCTTTGTAAAAATGGACTTGCAGCATGGATTAACAAGGAAGGCAGAGGTGATATGTGGACAGGTGCACACTTTTTTCTTGGAACAGGAAAAGAGAGCCTTAGAAGAAATGAAGCCAAAGGGCTGCCGGGCAATCCTTTCCATGATGAGAACTTGTCAGATGTCTGCCCATTCCCATGGGGGCAACCATCTTTGCTTTTATAGAAAAACATGATATTCTCGCAAGAAGTCCCCAAATGCCCAAAAAGGGAGAAGGAGAGCACGTCCTGTCTCTTTTTGTTCTTTCCACAGGGCCAGCAGCTTTAGCAGTCTTTGAGGGGTTATGCGGTTTTGCAGCTTACATCGTGTGTGTAGCACGGTTGGTAAAATTACAGCTGCCGCTTCAGCTTCAGAGCTGAAGCTTCTTGCACTGTGGTTGGAAGCTGGGCTCTTAATGTTACTGTAACAAATGTTGCTTCAACATAGCCCTTTGTGGTTTCACAATTATAGATCTGGTAGCCACCGACTAATGGGGAATGGAAGCTTCCAATATTTTGGAGGTGAATCACAACCATTTTATAGGCACCAGGGAGAAATGTATAATAAATCAGACAGAAAATGGCCCCTGCTTGAGGGCATAAGATAGACTAGCTGGAAAAGTAAAATTGAGCTTTTATTGGAATTCTCTCCACAGTGCTGTGAAGCCTCACACTATAAATTCTCTGCATTGAGACAAATGAGCCAAATCTGCCAAAGCCTCGTGGTGCATGGCGAGTGGCTATGCTGTCTCCATTGCCTCCACTGTGATCTCATTAGATGTGGGGTTATTTTATCTTATTTTTGAGGGGGGAGGGTTCTTGCAGTCTCCTCTACCAACTCAGAAGATGGCCCTGAGCTCTGTGGCAGAACATGTGTTTGCATGCAAAAGGGCCTCAGTTCTAGCTTTGGTGCTCCTAAACATTTTGTGTGGGAGCTGTAAGAAAGAAACATTTGAATGTAGAAAGTAAATACATGTTCATCTAGAAGGGCCTTCAGGTGCTGGTGGGGGAAGCAGCTGGGAAAGACCTTTACTCAAGGGCCAAAAGAGAGATTACGCTAAATCTGTTTAAAGCATATTTTGCTCATTTTTACAACAGAGCAGGTGAGATGGTGGTGGTGGGGGAGTCCAGATGCTGTAAGTCCCACCATCCCTTGTTTAAGGCCTTGATCCGAATTAGGCCCCCTATGCCTACCCTAGCATTAAAATGAAAGAAAATCGGATAGAGGCAGCCACAGATTTAACATAATGCCTCTTCTGTGCCCAGTATCCTGGTGGCCCATGCCACTTTGAGTAGAGAGTATTGGGGTAGAGATATCAAAGTTTTGCTTTGGTACAGTGCAGCTTTTATGGCCCGATCACATGAGCATAACAATGGTTTGTCTTTCCTTTAAAGGAAATGGAGGGAGGGGGAGGAGACAGGGACAGGAAGATCCTAGCTCTGTGCCTTAAATCCTGGAAAGATATGACAGAAGACTGATTTGCAATTTCTGGATATGTAAGACCAGCAATTGTATTGATACACATTTGATTGTGCATGGCTGATGAGAGCAGTTCATGCTGGCAAAGTTAGTCTAAAAATCACTCATATCCCAAGAGTGGTGGGATTTCAGAGATGTATCCTAAAGCCTAATGGCAGCCTCAAAAAGCTCAAATAACTCAAAAATGGCAAACCAAAGGCTGCTGCTGGTGGTAGTGGGGAGAACATGTTCTTTGGGGAATTTCCTCAACTGTGCATCATCCAGTATTAAAAGACATGTGTATGTGTAGTTGGCTGAACCCTGAATCATTGCTAAAGTAGCGTGTAGTCCATAAACTGTCCATAGACATTCTGCCCACTGTGGGAAGGCCTGCATTAAATGTTGGCATCTGGTGTCATGAAGGTGGTGGACCTGATCAGCCTGGAGGTCAAGGAGGAGAGTGTGAGGCTGAAGGGAAAATGTCAGAGGTGGGCCTGGAACTGTGGAGAGAAAAGGTCTGGTGCTGATTTGAGCAAGCGAGGGACGTGGTTGAACTTCACATGCGGAATCATTGTGGGTAGCCAGATCTTTTTTGATGGGCATTTGCAGTCTATGAATGAAGAGCAACCTGAGTGTTGAAGGAAGCAATAGAGGAATGGAACGTGTGGTGGAGAATTGGCATCTAGACCACAACAACTGGAGGTGTGAATGAATGAAAGTAGGAAATGAAATGAGGTGATGAAATAGGTAGCCCCGTACAGCACTGCAGCATGCCATCTGTACTGCAAGCACGGTATCTGCAAGGTACCAGGAGGAGGCTTGGTGGTGCAGGGTTTTGCTTTGCTCATGAGTGCTTGAAAAGAGTCAGTCTTTGCCGTGCCCCCTCCTCCTGCTTCCTCAGGCATTGGACACATGGGAAAGACAGCTCAGGCTAAGAAAACCTTTACTGAACAATAGAAAAATGGTTAACCCAGTTTAGCATCTTGTTTGACAAGATCCTAATGCTTCAAAGCTTTCTAATGGTCAGGATACTAGCAAAATATAATGTTGGTTGATGCCCACTCCCAGTGGTTTCTGGCACCATAAGCACTGCAGCTGCTTGACTATCAGCTGGGGTGTTCCTGTATCCCACAAAGAGTGAGAATTCTGGGTTTGGCCTACCCATTTATGCTGTTGGCCACCATTATCCCTGGCAGGATAATCACTGCAGGGAGGGCCCGGCAACTGAATGCCAAATATCTTCACTACACACTTGACTAACGCTTTCCGAATCAATGAAGAAAATGGGATTAGTGAATTTTCAGTTTTGAATCAGAGGGTTTTGAAATGAGAAATACTAGGTTTCCAGTTTGATTGTGACCAGTATGTAGCTGTTGAATCATTTCGCTTTCATTGAATGGTGTCTGAATGCATGCTGAAACCTTACACCATTGGTCTTTTACATCTATACCGATACCTACATATCTAAACACAACAGCATTCGCACTTGCAGTGCTCAACCAGTTCTACCTTTTGCGAACACATGAGAACACATGATATGCCTTGGCGGGATCAGCCCTAAAGTCCATCTAGTCCAGCATGTTGCTTCCCATGCTGGAGAACCAGATGCCTCTGGGAAACTCATAAGCAGGGTCTGAAGGAAACAAACCGGTCGTCCCTGCACTGGTGGCTTCCAGACTTCAACTCCTAGCAGCTCCAGACAGCATAGCCAGTGATCAGGACTGCTGGGAGCTGTATCTGGGTGAGAGAGGCTTCAGGGTGCCGTCTCCCAGCCATGGCATCCAGTGCCAGGCTGTCTCTGCACATGCACAGAGGCAGCATGAGCCTAGGGAGCCACAGTGATCAAAACAACGGCTACTAGACTCATCCTGCACAGCAAATCTGAGTGTGCAGCCTGCACTGGAGCACCTTCTCTGCCTTTTGAATAAATCAATGAACTGATTCTATGTCAAATTCAGTCCTATATCAAAATGGTCCTTGAGAGGCGGTCAGATATGAATGATCAGCGTATGAAGCGAGCCTTTCTTCACATTGCCAACCGGAAAGCTGTGTGAAGGCAGTCTGAATCCCTTTGCTTTCCTTGAACGGAGCCTGAATTGTCCATTTCAGGACGCTCATGCCTAAGCTACACTGAAGGGGTCGTGCGTGGCTTGATCGCTTGTGGACGGACTGCCTTCTGCATTCCAATAGTTATGACTAGAGCGTGTAACATGGTAGCTATGCTCCCTCTATTACTTGTCTGTAGTCAGAGAGAAAAATGTTGTTGCCAAGAAATCATCACGTGATTTATTGACTCTCCACTGGGATGGGGGAGGCAAGGGCTGGAGGGGAACAGATACCACTTTGTGATTTTATTATAAGGCGACTGGGTTAATATTTCTAGGTGAAGCAAGGTAGTATACCGAGTTCAAACATCTGAAGAGGGAGGTTAAGGAATCCTGAGTGCGGGGTGTAAGGGTTATTCTGTCCTGGGGCAGTGCAGACGTCGTCTGAGGCAGGGAGCAGGAGAAGAAAGGACACATTATGACCCAGTTCCAACACCTCCTGTGTATACAGACGGAAGAGTTTAGCCTGCAGAGGGACACGTACAGAGAAGAAATGGGGGCGGGGGGTGAGGCGAGAGTTACAACATCGTACTTACATAAACAACCCCCCAAATGGTATAAAACATTAGAGCAAAGTTGCACAACATCCAGATTGGCATTTTTATAAACATAAAGAGAGGCAGAAATATATTTATGTGTGCGCGTTAATTTTGCTTCATAAAATAAAGATGTAAAGCTCTAATCATGTTCCACGTTAAAGCACACACACCCTAAGGTCCCCCAGAAAATAACATTTATGTTTCTTATTAGCCAGAAAATGATCACACTCCATGAGCTTTTCAAGATTATGATTGCATAATTATGTGAAAACATGAAAATGAATTCAATTAAAAAGCTTTAACGTTCAATTTAAGAGTTGGTTAGCAAAGCTATGCAGCTTTTTCTTTTTCTTTTTTTGGCCTCCCCTCCCCTCTCCCTTCTTCCCCACAGCCTGTCACCAAACGGGGCAATGAAAACGATTTAACAAGTCACAGCAAAAAATGCACAGTAACAAACAGAAAACTAAAATCAACTGGCACAAGCATATATTTTATTCAGATCCACTTTGATCCAAAAGTAAGGTATGGATCAGGGTTATCTTTAGGCTTATCTCCTCCTTGAAATTCCCAGAACTGTTCTCCTGCAAGCAGATAATGGCAGGGTTCAAAGCATCAACACAAAAAGAAGCCACCGTGGCCCCTTGTCCTCGTATGTGCCAGGGTGCGTGCTGTGCGGTTTGGCCGATGACCCTGGTGCGCACCATTTCCCACGTCTGCACCGTAGGGGTGACTTTGCAATCACCCCGGAACCTTTGGTTAGTTTCTAGGGTGGCTTCAACGCCCCCACACCTTGCACCTCTGTATGGCACGGGGAAGTGTGAGATGGACCTTCAGGATATGTGGGGATCCAACATGGCTTCTGTTCCTGTGGATCATCTGAACATGTCCAGGTGTCTATGCACGTTTCATTCATTCTCCTCCATTCAAAGTAATCTTGCCACTTTTTCGGCCTTATTTATACTTTGCACAATTATGCAGCCCTGCAGATTCATTATGTGAGCACTGGTGGACTGGGTGACGAACAACAATACAGAATAAGTTTTAAATTAAACATGTTTTTGTACAAGCACTTGCTACCTCCAAGTGTGTAATTGTGTGAGATCATTTTAAAAGGGAGAGGGCAGGCTACGAAGATTATAGAGAAAAGGCCCTTTGCTTCAGAATAAGCCAGCAAAGACAAAGAAGAGGCTTTCTAATTGCACAAGGAACATCAGACCCAGCCTAATTGCTTTGTAAGCCAAGTGACTCTCGCCTACTGGAATCAAGCATAGCAGGCCATAGTCATTTTGAAGCTGTTTCATCTACAGTGAAATGGCTTGTTTTAATTGATGGTTCTGGTGAGCAAAAATAAGAATGTTCAGCAAAAGCCCAATGGTGGTTTATTAAAAGTGGACCAGATGCTTACAAGTCTCCCTTTCTTAGGTGTGGAGTGGAGAGGAGATCCAAGATTAACAATTTAAACCTGTGCATATCTTTGCATGAGTTCAATGGGACTTACTCCATGTTACTGAGAATCAGCTAAAAGAATCAGTTAAACCCAGTTTAGCCATTTCACAATTCTCTCCAATTTGCTTTAATTGTCACTTTTGTTTAAGTGTCACGTTCATGATTTTTTGCTTTAATATGTTTCTCACCAGCTCTGAAAGTAACTTGCATAGCAATTTTGGACTAAATCAGCTGGAACTGGGAACTGGATCGTGCATGGAATAGCTATGAAGTGAGTGAAGAGATGAACCCGAGGTCATTCTGTAATGACCCGAGGTAAAGCTGTTGACGGGCAAGGACATCTCAGGAAACTTGGGACAAATCTCGGACTGTTCCTTTTGGATCAAGGGATGATTTGCGTACACTGCAAAGCATGGCAAAATAAGGTGGGATGGCACTTCTCTGTTTTATGTATTTTCACCTTTCAGCCCCATCTTCTTGCTTGCCCCATGGAGATTTTTGGGGAGCCTTACGAATCAGTACTATAAACTATAATACAGAAAGATAAAAATTCTATCCGTTTTGGGAAGCAGAAAATGTGGTATGTTTTAAATGTGTCCTGAAAATGTACTTGTTCACCCGAACTTTTTCTGGCTTTTAATTAATTGTAATTAATCATGTGGCACTCTATCTCACTGTTCCTTGTATTGCTTTTTTGTAGTTGAAATTGTTTTGAATAATGTATTTAAATATGTTTTTAATATTTCTATGTCAGCTGCTTGGAGATTTTATTCTATTAAACAGTATAGAAATGCTATTAATAACAAAACAAATCAATAATAGAACACAAAGAAAAAGCACTAGGAACACAATAGTAAAAATAAAGACATAATAGCAAACAAAGATTTTAAAAACACTTTGCTGTCATCTGCCAGTGCAGACAAAACATTTCCAAATTTTAAGACTGAATCTATACAATATCTGCTTTGGAAAACTGTCCACATTTTGACAAGGGACCTGGAAAAGAGTGTCCCACAGGTTTTGAAGAAGCTGGTGAGAACACATCTCCACATGCTCTGACTATTTGAACTTGGTCAGTGGATAGTACAGGCAAGAAAATGTGTATGAAGCACTGATGAATGTAAAGGAAGTGGAAGGCTTCAGGAATCCAGACCCGGGCCCAGACCCAGAAGTCTTGTATGCAGCATCTGTACATTACATTGCTAAACCCAGGAAACTATAAGCAAATTTCTAGGACAGCCTTCCCCAACACCGGGGAATGGTGGGAGTTGTAGTCCCACACATCTGGCAGGCACCATTTTGAGGAAGGCTGCCTTGGCACCTAGACTGTGCAATGCTGAAGCCCTGTGAGATCATGCTGGCCGGTCTGGTCTGCTCTTGCTCTCGGCACACCCACTGGATTGCTTCCGCCACAGGCCATGCGCGTGTTGCCTGTGCATGCGTAGGCTCCCTCGGTGTGGGCTTGACCCCGTGACGAAAGTCTAATGGGCATACAACAAGTAGGAATGGAGGCTCTGTGCATAACCCTGAATCAAAGCACTGAGACATGCTCAGAGCATGGAGGCCAGCAGGTGTGATCAATGACTTTTATGGAAAGTTGGAAAAATTACTGCGACCTGCTTTAGGCACAACTTTTTGTGTTTTGAGACAACGCAGGAGACAAAAGTAACATGAAATCAAATCATGCTCCTCCCCGTGCATTCATGTATCTACGCACTGCATGTCATCGGCACAGGGCTAAAATGTCTTGATGACACGTATATTACATTTTCACAAATCCTCTCCAGGATAGCACAGGCAAATATTGCTATGTTAGGAATGTTCCTGGTGCAGGAGTGTGTGTGAACGCAGCCACTTACCACTCACTCAAGGTGATTGCATTAGAATGCTTGCACCCAGCTATCATGGGCTGGATTTGGGTGAGCAGGAAAAGGTCTTTACACTTTGTGCAGGCCAAATGCAGCACTGTAAAGGAGTCACAGTGCATCAATGTACTGCCCATGCACACAAGAGACGTGGCACCCAGCTGCCTGAAAGAGACTTGTTTTTGCGGCACTGGCGCTGCCTTGGCCGCCGTGAAGTGTTATGCTGAGGTTTCAGCAGGGGGTTGGGCAGCATCGATTCTTCAAAGCCATGAAGCCCAGAGCAGATCCTGCATGCATCCCTGCTTCCACGAACATGGGGCACCCATCCCTCCTCCCAAGTAAGCAGCCTATTCCAGGCCTATAGAAGGGCTGGTGAACCAGCTCTAGATCGGTATCTTTGAAACAAAGCAATGCTATTTCGTGGAAATACATATACATTGCAGATAGGTTCCCTCCAAGTTACTGCATCCCCTTGGAATGAATCGGGCAGTAAGTATCAAAACACACCATACCTGTCGCAGAGGTAGATGGATCTGTTTAAGGAGCGCTTTCGTTGCCATCTGGAGCTCAAAGAACAGTCGAGTTGGGCACTCATCTGTATTTTCCATAGATTCTGAGCCAGAAAGACTTTGGATCCATTCCCACTCCTCTCTGTATACGGAATGAAGTTAAAATTAGAAATATAACAAAAGTTCACAGCACAAGGAAGAATTTACTGTATGTATGTTTGGGCTCTGTTGAGGTTTTCATTCTCAGATAGTAAAATTTTCTAAACTTATAGCAGGCCTTATTGTTTGTGGTTTCCAAAGGGCCAACTTTCTGATTTCATTCTCTCTGTGTATATCAAGCTGAAGGCTTCTTTACTGAGATCTAAAAAAATGCCTTTGAAACATTTCAGCTTTCATTGACAAGCAGGCTGTTCCATGTTTCTATAATCTTTTAACACACATGCCTTGGGCTACAGTGGCATTTTTCCAGAGGGCTCAATTTTCTCATTAGGCTTTTCTAGCACTGCATGCAGCCAATAAAAATGGCTTGGTTTTTGCTAGACGCATTTCTGCTCTGACCCATCCCCTGCTTGTGGGTGGAGTGGCGTTGCCCATGTTGGTATGGAGAAGGGTGTTGGCAACATGCAGCTTGCTTGCCCTGCCAGCACGGATGGGTCTGGCAGGCAGAACCAGGCTGGCCACACCAGTTAGGAGCACGGGGCACAGTTCTGGTGGGTTGGGTTGGCACCGTCCCCGTGAACAGAGTGGGGGAAGTGCTCTGGGCAGGGGCATCCCTGTCGGGCCACCCGCTGAAGGGATGGCATTCTGGGTTCAGGTCAAAGGCAAACGGGGCACGGACAAATAAAATGGGTGGGGCCAAAATTCCAAACATGCCAGCATGTTTTATCTTAAAGCTCCTCCTGCCAGCAGCTAAGCCACTGGAGAGCAATTGCAACCTGTCACTATGTCTGTGTGTGAGGCAGCTGCACGAAAACTAGGCAACCATTGAATGATGGTGGTTGGGAGAAGAGGCGTGGCCACCTGTGGAGGCCTGGATGGCTAGGTGACAACACCAGGTGGGCTAGACAAGGGCCCTGGGCCTGCAGCTCCCTCTTCCTGGACGAGCTCATTTCCAGATGGCGGCAAGTTTGAGTTCCACCACTGGCCCTCATTGGCTCTGGGGCATTTTGCTTGTTTCTTTGCTTGCTTAGTGCTGCATAATGGAGATGGATTGTATTGTCAGGTTAGGGCAGTCAGAACCAATGCTCCAAATAAGGCAGAATGGGCAGGTAAAGGATGGGGTAGAAGGAAGCATTCTTGAGAAGCATCCCAAGGCATCAGTCAAGAGGAGAAAAGGGCTGCTTTGGATCGGTCTCCCAAAAACAGCAGAATGAGCAGGAGGGCCTCCAATGAAGCCGGGCCAGCTCACCCCATTTTAACGAAAGGGAAGTAATACACTCTGCCATCTCAGAAGGGAGCTTCTGGAAGACCATTAAGCCGGGAGTCTAAAATTACCAAATTACGCCACTGATTATTACTGTGTTATTCAAGCACTTTACAATCTCTAAATGGTGTCAAGGAGCAGGGTCAATTGGGAAACCATAAATCAATAGGCATGAAGCTGTTGCCATTTGATTGTGGAGACATGAAAGGTGTGCGAATTTTGCTGGAAACGTATCTTCGCTGGGTGAATTTCCCGTCCAATAACAGTTTGGAAGTTCTGTAACATAACATACCTTCTGTAACATAACTTAGAAAACTAAGTAACTCTGGATCCAGAGTTGGGTGAACCTGCTATGGTACTCGGGGAGCAAGGGCGCATGGCTTCCTAAAAGGAAATCTGGACAGTCACTTCAAACTTTCTAGTCTTTGCATGACATGCCATGAACCATCAGGGTCCTGTAAAGTGAAAGCTGGACGCAGAGCTTGCAATGCTGTGCTCAAATTCTGCCCTAGGTTCTGTGTCTGGCAGTGCATCAGGTGCAGTCTCTGTGCCATAGAGGATGAGGAGAGAAAATATAGAGTGACTGGGTATGGGACTGCGACCCACGAAGTGCTCACTAGATGGTGGGAAGGAAAAATGTTCCACTCACTTGGACACGTTGCTGTTGTCTCGTATTTTAACATGACACAGAATGTTAGGCAGCTTTTGCAAGACAAGGACTTTTATCTGATCCACTGAGCTGCAGAGTTTCAGGTAGCCCAAGTAGAGGCCAGGGGCCAGGCGCTGTTGGCTTCGTCTGTGATAGGAAAGTGTATCCTGTTGGAAAAGAGAGAAAATCTTAAGCTGGAATGTCTTCTTGGATTTGTCTCTGTATAAAAGGAAAATGCAGGATCACAGAGCCACTGCTGGTATTATGGAAGACACTTTTTTTGCCTCCTTCCTTTTCCTCAGAATGGTTCGCTCTGTTTAATAAACCACAGATATATGTGTTTAAAAAACAGCTTTAATATGCTCTGGAACATCTAGAGCACAGCTTCTTGGAATCAACTCCGAGGACTCAGGCATTTAAAGCAAAGTTTTGGTGGAACCAGCATACATAAAATTTGTGTCCACATTCATGCCCACCATCCCCATCCCCAGCTACCTCAATGAATTTAAGAGCCCCATTAGCACTGGAGTCTCTGCAAATCCCAATGCACACAGGTCGCCCACATCGAATCTGTGTCCTGAGACTTGGAGGGGGTGCAGGTGGCACGCAGGGGGCCATGTACTAGACTATTGTGCAAAGGGAGCTTTGACTGTATGGGGTTCAAGAATGGGGCCAGCAGGCGCAAACCTGATCCCTCCCTTCACATGTTTACTTCTATGATTGTTGGCACAGGGCATTGCTCTTCTGATGATATGAGGGGAACTTGGCTGCGAGAGCAGAAGGAATCTGCTGCTGGATTCACAGTGCGCTTCTTGCCACCCTGCAGTTAGACATGGAAATGCTTCTGGTCCTGTAGAGCAAGAAGCCTTGTTCTAAATGAGTGATGAAAGCATTCTAATTAATACTTGGATGATCCAACACTAATTATTCTCCCAGCCACAAAGATTGCTTCAGCCTTTGTTTGGAAACCAGCAGAGACCATCTCACAGTTGCGCCCAGTTAGCTCCTTTGCCAAGGTCAGAAATTCATGGTTTGCTGATGTTCTCTGTGTTTCCCCAACATATAACATAGCTTTCCAACATTTACTGCAGGAAAAGGATAAGGGGGAAAGGGATCAAATGAGAATTGCCAACAAAATGCACCTCAAGTGAAATTTCGGGATACATTTGGAGAGCCTTGCTGAGGCCAACTAACTGAAGGGAAATGAACAGAGCTTTGATACATGAGAGCAATTTTGTTGGGTTCCACGTGGCTTTCTTGCCATTAACTTTTTTACAAACTAGAGCCAGAGAAGTCAGGGTTGCAGAAGAGTTGTCACAACTGTTTTTTAAAAAGTGAATTGGGCAGGTTCTCTTTTCTTGGGGAGGAGAACCAGCAAGGAATTGCAACTGGAGATGAGCGTTAAAGACGCTAGGTTTGGCCCATCCTCTATCACAGGGCATTTAATTAGTTTATTGGGGTTTGATAGCTGTTTACCACTCATTATAACATTTGGTCAATCTACCTTAACCTATATTAGTGATGTGGAACAGGAACTCTGTGTGTGTGTGTGTGTGTGTGTGTGTGTGTGTGTGTGTGTGAGTGAGCATATATGTATACATGTATATATGTATACATATATATTATCAGTAATACTTTCAACATCAGTTCATATGTTCTGATCATTACTGTGCAGCTATATGGTTGTGTGTGTGTGTGTGTGTGTGTGTGTGTGTTCTGTTTGGTTTGTTTCCCCCCTTTTTCTGTATGTGTTTGTGGTTCCACTCGTTTTGTATTCTCAGTGATTTTTTTCCCTGATGGTTAGTTTTTCTGAGAAATAGTAAAAGTCAAAATAAATAGTATAGTTATTAAATAGGCCTTATGAATTAATTTGGGTAAGCTATAGTAATTTTATGTTTAAATTTAGTTTAATTTTGGTATGGTAATTTTTAATGATATTGTAAACATTATTTGTATTTTAAATTTTATTTTTTATGTGCTGTTGTTAACTGCCCAGAGAACTTTGGCTATTGGGTGGTATAGAAATGAAATAAATTTGATGATGATGATCCTGTCCATAGCTTTTCTGTATTGCAAGCCCTCAGGTCTATGTATGGAGGTTACTGTGCAGCCACAGACTGGAGGCGCTCTCCCCATCCAGGCGAGGCATTGGCTTGCCTCACCAGCAAGAGGCATAAAGGCTTCCTGTTCAGAGTGGTTTGACGAGTCAAACTGCCCTCCCTGGATACTCCCTTGTGGCACCACTCCGACAGCAAGGTGTTAATAGCAAAATCCCTCACTAGGGGAAGGGGCGAGTTAGCACATCCCTCAGGCATGATCTTGTGCCCATGCCCTCAATGCATGCAACCCTCCAAACTCAGCAGCTTTTGTGCATCCTATGCCCATATAAAGACTCGGCAGAGGGAATCTTTGCCACTGCTTTACCTTGCACTGGGTACCTTTTTCAGTGCCTCTTTTCCTCTCCGCCAGGAACGGAGAGGGGTGGAGGCTGGAAGGGGGGTAAATCTGTGGTGCCCAGCCTCCTCCCCTCCCTGCCCCCACAGCATGCTCTTTGCCCCCCTCCAAGGCCCAGTTGTGACCCTGAGGGGCCACCAGCCTGGTCCCTTCCATGCCAGGTATGAGGGGCCAGGGCAGGGCTTGGCTTCTGGAATCTCCACTCTGAGGTTGCAGGACGTGATCGCAGGTGATGTCCGGAGGCTATAATAGGGGCATTGCACCCTGTAGTGCCAGCCAATTGTGTCACCAGCAACATTCCAAGGCAGATTTTGAAGCTCCTAGTCCCGCTGAACTTTTGACGGAAGTAAGAAGAAAAGAAAAAGGAGCTTCATATAAACCCTGCAAAATTTCTCAGCAGCTCTTCACTAGGGATGGAAGACTTATTGGTACAATTTGTCTTTTAATGCAAATTGATCTAATTTCACACTTTGGAGAGTCTATTGAATTGAAATTCAGTTATCCTTTGAAATGTGCACTTCTTCAACTTCAAGTCTCCAATAATATAGTACATCCAAAATATTGCACATTAGAGGAAATACTGTTCAAAAATGCATTGTGCTGGAAAAGTGCTTGCAAGAAATGTGTATGATAGCCAAAAGTAGAAAAATTTGGAGAAATGTTGATTTCTCCAGATCTCCAAAATAAGGAGAAATGTAAACAGAAATGCTTATGAATGTTCTTACAATTTTTTTTTAAAAATCCTCACAATTAGGATAAACCAAAGTAAAAGGTCAGGAAAACTCTCAGAGCCAAAGATAAATTGAACTTAGGACTGGAAAAAATGAGAAACAGAGAAAATATCCATCTTTAATTTCCATGCATCTCTCTGCAGCTCATGAATATTTCAAAACTGAATTGCGTGATATGGAAGAGGGCAAAATTAAGCTCAAATTAGTCTTGCATTAAAGATCTTATGGTATTGCTTGTTTGACATTTTGTCACTGAAGTAAAATGCAGAAGCATCATCTTTCCATGCCTGTGCACATCTCAAAAACTGTTACTGAATGATTCACCTATTTTCTACTTACATTTAATTAAGCTTCATTAACTTGCAGTTTGCATCCTTTCCTACTTTGAGAATTAAAAATGTTTCCATTTATTACTTGCAATCTTGTACAAATGGATCCAGAGTTTGATATAGAGAATTCCTTACATTTACTCCCAGGCAAAACACAACACATGTTTCAAACCTCTGAAGATGTGTTCACAGGCTACCAGAGGCTGCTGTGGAGGTGCAAGCTTGCATTGCTTGCAAAGACTGAAATGCTCAGGTCCTTGCCCTGTGTCCAGCAGCTATGAGGCTTCTGGCTAAGATAACGCATGAACTTCATCTCTGGGGGATGCGTTGGGAGATGGTGGCCAATTTAGTGCATGGACCTTTCTTCTGATGCCATTTGAAAATGGTGCCAGGAGGTGGCAGCCAAGGCAGTGCATGGGCTTTTGATGCCACCCAGTGGCAGTGGTCTGAAAATGTCCGTGATGAGCTGCATCAGCTATCAATCAAGAACTAAACTATTCCGATAAAATGGGATAGAAAGTCTATTGGCTAATGGACATTCCAGGAGGCAGAAAAATGCTTTTGCAGAACAGCGCACACAGTCAAGCAGAACTTCCCACTCATTCCTGCCACTAGCATTCTCAAGGGCCTGGAATGCCAAGCCCCCCGAAGGTGAGGCTGGAGTGTTTCCAAAGAACAGAGTGCTGCGCCTGAACGAGCTATGTCATTCACCCCGTAATGCAATTGGTCCACTGCTACTGATGTCAGGGAAAGGCCTGTGTGCACCCTCCCAACTGGATGCAGCATTTTACTGCCAGAATAAACCGAGTCATCAAATATGAGCTACTTTCCATTTGCCAACACAAGAATCTTTATGATCTGAATGAGCTCTCCAAGAGGACTGGCAGTGTCGGTACTTAACTAACATCTAAAAAGTAATATAAAGAAGGCTTTAACTGGGAGATATATAACATTCCTTAAAGATTACCCTAATAAATGAAACCGACTGCCATCCTGAGTTACATGTGCCACTGGAATAGGGTGAGGATTAAGGAACCTGGCCCTATGCCTTCACCACTGGGACCATCTGCCATTGCTACGCCTGGCTCCAACCCATGCAATTGGATCTTCATTGTCACAAGCATTTCACGAACAAAATACCCATTTGATGATTCAACAAGTAATCCAAGAAAGGCTGGACATTTGATAGGAATGAACAAACCATTAGGGGAACTTTTTTCCACTAGGGATGTGGTGGAAACTTGAGCAGACCTGTATTTGGGGTTTCCTTATATAAAATATATGCTCCATTCTCCCCTACCCTCTTTTTAATACCTGTAATGCATTTTTAATGCCACAAGTCTAGCCTAGTCTAGCGTGCAATATTCCCATCCACATATCTTTTAAATGAAACAGAAACCCACAAATGGGGAGAGGGTATTATTAACTGTTGATTTTCAGCACGTCTGATTAGTTCAACTGGCTTCTCTGGAGCCGCTTTCAAGTTAAAGGGCTTGGAGAGATAAATGTTTGCAGTAGTTAATACAGAATGACTGGGCGGGAGTGACCCACAAGCAGGAGCGACACACAAGCCAGTGACTTATTTTGGTTTCTGGTGGAGATGTGTGAGAAATTGCTCTGTCAAGTGTTTTTAGAAATCAGTTTACTTGATTTGCTATCAGAAATCCAGGCCAACAATGCATTCTGCAGAAATAAAATTGAAATGTGTTTGTCCACAGGCAAGCATATAAAAAAGGCTAAAGAAAAATGGGTACATTTCCAAAATGCTCAGAAACATGCTTTAGTCTATGGGTGCATGTCTCCAAAAATGTGTACATTTAAGAATACATATGCTGTATGCATGTGTTACAAAAGTTCCATACATTGTGTGTGTGTGTGTGTGTGTGTGTGTGTGTGTGTGAGAGAGAGAGAGAGAGAGAGAGAGAGAGAGAGAGAGAGAGAGAGAGAGAGCAAGGGGGCAATTAAAAAATCACTCAGCGGTGAGCCAGAATAGGCTTCACCTCAAAACCAAACAAACAAAAAAGACAGACTCAGCAGGACCGAGACTGACAGACACATCCATCTCTGATGTCGTGTCCCAGGGCATGCCTACATGTGAGGTTTCCCTGCACTTTCAGTATCTCATGCTAAATAAGGCATGTGAGAAGCAGGATATATCATGGCATGTCAGGACTGAATCCCTGGGTTGATCTTGACTGTTGAAAAGCCATGGTCTTCCTGACCAGCTGCTTGGTTCCAGGCTTCTCTTGTTTATCTGACTTGCCTGAAATCCTCCTTTCGCTGAGTGTCTAACTCAGGTGTAGGGAACAGGTATGGTTGGCTGCAGTTCCCATTGTGTCCCAATATTGGCCAAGTTGGTGCTCTTGGGAGATGCAGTCAAACAGCACTGGAAGAACAACACATTCCTCAGCTGTAGTCTATCTGATCTGTCTGACCTGTTTGCTTCCCTATTTCTTCTCCCTTGAGCTGGACTTGTTTGTATCTAGTGGTTCGGCTGGAATTCTTGTGTTGACTTGTTTGCTTAGAGTTCCTGGGATGCCAGTTCTATGAAGAATTCTGATTCATTTGGGCCATAAGTATCTACACTGTATCTACACTGCCAGTTGAACTTCGGTCCTGTTGACATCAGTGAGACAAGTTAGTCATGATTTCATTGAAGACCCACTGCTTTTAAAGAGAATTAAGTTCAGCAACTTTGATCTGGATCAAACCCATCTTCTGGCCTATGTGTCCCACAGAAGGGCTCTTTTAGTTAATTAGGGTCATGTAGGTTTGTTTGTTTTTTAAGAGAGAATTATCCATCATGAACCTAAGGACAGATTCCAATGACTACATCTGGGTAAGCTTCCAAAGCTGGAAACTTATGAAGCTCCCTGTGGGTGCTGTAAGAGGCAAATTGGTCCCATATGGCTTGATGGGTCCTAAAGTTCCTTTATCAGAAGGATTTTTTGGTTATTGGACCATATATGTGAGGAGCGACAGGGATACCTGGATTGTGATGAGCAAGATGTCTAATGCTGTAGGTTCCTCTGGTGTTGAGAGAGATTTTCTCTGGCTCTGCAGCTTGGATATCTGCATCCATTTGCCATTAAAAAAGGAATAGAGAGTCTCCACTTCTCTTATTGTAACGATGATAATATTGCCATGCCGATCCTTGATTGGTTCATAGTAGACTCGGCCCAAGTTATGTGTACCCAGCAGATTCTGTGTGCAGGGGTGGGGATGGGGATGGAAGACAACAAAACACATAATTAGTGGCTCTCTGATGCAAACACTGGTGCTCACATCTTCATGTATCTGGAGACCTGGTGCTGGTGATGGGGACAATAAAGCTCTCATAACCTTGTTGTCCATATCACATCGGGCAGAACCCCATCACTCAGTCGCACGGCAACACACTTTCTCTGTTGTGGCACCCTCCTTCTGGTATGCCCAGTCCCACTCTGCAGTATGTAAGACACCAGTGTTCATGGACTTTTGATGAGAATTAAGAAACCCTACTTGTTTACTCTGGTTTTTCCCAACCATTACCTTGCCCAAACGTTGTTGAGCTTTTATAATGATGTACAGTTGTATAATCCAGTAATCCACTTTGGGTTGTTGTTTTTAAAGTGAGAAGTGGTATATAAATATTCTAAAACAAACAAACAAGCCAGCCAGCACAGCAACTGGCCAGTGCAAAGGAGCAGCCCAGGCTTTCAGCTCTCTCGAGGATAAATTTGGAGCCTCTCCAGGTTTCCAGGATGATAAATCCCAAACATGAGTGGCTGGCTACATCCGCCCTGGTGAATGGGTGTATGTGTTGCAGTCACAGACTAGAGCTTGTGCTTGTCTCAGATACATTCTGACACATCAAGAATACACAATTCCAGAAAGATGGAACAGAAGGTTTTGGAGAGACCATCATAAAGGGCCTGTGCATCATGACCCTGTGGGACACAACCCCACCCCAAACATGTGCTTTGGAGGATCCCTTTCATGGCATCAGGTCACTAATCCATTCAGCCCAGTGCTGCTTGCTCTGGCTGGTGGCAGCAGCCTTCCAGGATTCCAGGCAAAGCTCTTTCCCACTCTTCCTGCAATCTGAAAAGTCTTTGAACATTGGAACGTCTACATTCCAGAAACCATGTGCTCAACCACTGAGCTATGCTCCCTCCTGTGGCCCCGGGTAGCAGGGGCTGGAAGCGTTTCATTCAGCTCTATTTTTGCAACTCATTGACAAACATAACTTAAAGGTCGGGGGGGGGGGCACAGTCTGGCATAGGCTGTAAATCGCAACACAATGGAATTGAGGGCAATACTCCCATTGAGTTTTAACGGGACTGGACGACATCCATGAACTTAGATCTTTTCTTACAGATGGTAATGGGAGTTTTAGCACTTACTTCAAAGTAAGGAGAATTAATCCAATATGGAGATCATTTGAAACCTCCCCCATGTATCCCTCAGTGGAGCTAAGGAAAAATTCTTTTGGACGGCTGGGTAGAATACGGGTGGATGGTTTACAGAATCAATGCACATGTTAGCCTCTGACTAATTCACTGTATCTATGGAATCCTCTCTTAAGGGATTTAAGCACTACTGGCATTGTTTCCTTGAGTATCAGTAATGCCTTTCAGTTTCAAACTTCTTTGGTTAAAAAGGGCATCAACACTGCAGGTATGTTTGAAAGATGCTGCCTGCTGAAGTGCTTTATCACTGCAAATTGTAATTTTCTATGGAGAACCTATAGTAATGTGTGTTTCAGAAAACTAAAAAATTATGAAGAATTCCCATGACAGGCAAACATTCTGGCAAAGTAAAAGAAAACTAGAAGGGTGGGTGGGGGAAGCCCTTTAAAAAGGCAACATGACAATATAGTTGAAGGGCAAAATAAGTGGGTCCCCATCCTTTTTTATGTTTTATTTTTTGCTGGGGTTGCTCTTCATAGGTTAAATTATAGAATTTGAAAACAGAAATTGCAAATAATTCATGGGTGCACATTTATAATGGACCCCCAATTACCTCCAAAGTTGTTCAAATTCTCTCTTTGGTCTTTGGCATGTACAAAGCATAGTCCCACACTTCACTCAGACATTCTTGGATAGATGGATGTTTGTTTGCTTTCAATATTTATTTACTTACTTATTTAAAGCATATTTATCTCGCTCCTCAGCCAAACAGGCTCCTGGAGTGGTTATTTGCCACAAACAAATCTTGCAACGTTACCGTGTGTGAGATCAAATCCCCTGACTTTGTGAGACAATACCTCATGACATTTCAGTGGGGCATATGCAGGAGAACCTCTTGCCCAATCACGTCCTATCAGTGCCTTGGAGGACTAGGGTTTGCCACGGCTGGAAACAGGATACGCGACTAGGTGGACTCTTGGCCTGGCTGACCACAACTTTTTTCCTTCTCCAAAAAGGCACGCACTTATGAAGGTCAGCATGTTGACTTCAGTGCAATCAGCTCCTGAAGAGATGCCCAGATGTCTCAAAGAAAAATCCCTAGCATTTTAAATATGCTCCCGACTTTGGAAGGTTTCAAAAGATCTACAGTAAGCTAGTAAGGGGTGGGAGTTGTTTAAAAGGAAAACCTGAATTGACAATGCGGCACATTGTACATGTATGAAAGCAACGGGGCTGTACATTAACCTTAATGACATTCTCATATGATAGATAAAGCCACCCTGAGCTGATTTTATCTGCAGACACTATTTACTTCTGAATGGCATTATTAAAATTGTTTATAACTGGAGCACTCCAGAACAGCTAGCACAGTGACTGCCATTTAGAAGTGACTTTAAGTAGATATTTTAGCTTTAGGCATCCCCATCCAATGCACACAGTAGGTGTTCTGTATCCTTATGGGCTGTCTTCTCTTTTGCTGCTTGGAAAGATTTGCTTAGAGAGTCATGCTCTTTATTTTTCAAACCCATGCAGGATTTGTAAGAACATGATTCACAGTCTCCCCACACCCTTTTTTTCTTTTTGCCATAGGGATAACAACGCAAAAACACAAATCTTGTAATTCAATTTTGCTACATGGCTGGGTATATTCAGCCCATACACCCAAGGGAGTAAGGCATTTTAGAGGCTAGAGAAACAGTGGTGTTATTTTCCATATGAACCCTATTTGGCATACAATATTTAGCATTACAATCCACTTTAACGCCTCCCCAACCTAATGCCCTGCCCTCACAACCCAGCTGTGACCATCATCCTTGTCTATTGGCTATGCTGGCTGGGATAAGGAGAGCTGTTGTCCAGAACATCTTGAGGACCACAGGTTTTGTAGTAACTTGGGCTAGTTACTGATCAATCTATTCCAGGGCCTGTACTAGACCAGGGTTACAGGATTCTAGAGGAATGAACCAGAGGTCATCACTGTAGGTCAGGAAAAAACCCAAATGGTAAGCACGAACATTTGCTAAGATTAATCTGCACTCTGTCCTTAGAGTTCCAGGAACTCAGACTACGATACTATGCAAGAAACCAAATCTTCCCACAGTAATGCTTACTCCTAGAATTGAACCTGTCGCCCCACTTGCTGCTGCTGCTGTTTTCAAAGCACCCAGGGGTGGTGCTGCATCCTTTAAGGTTCCTGGCTTCTGTAGGAGCTTCTTCCTAATCTACCAAGGCTTAGGCATTGATTGCCGTCTTCTTCAGACAGTCCCAGGACTGGGCCTCTCTCTTGTCAAGGTGACTGAAGGCCAAAGTTATGGCAACAAGGTGTTTGTGGTGCTGCAGCCATACACTCTGAGGGTACAGCTGGAAAGCAGTCCTCCAAGTACAAAAGGATGAGATACTTCAGTGGCATCTATGCGGTAATCTACACATTGTTCCGGGTGTCTCTTGACTTGTGCAGAGCCAGAAGATGGGAAGAGAAGTATTCACCTATGCCAGGCATGTGTGGGTGAATGGATTACGTGCTGCAGCGCTCAGCAAACTACTCTTTATTTCCTGAGTCACATTTAATTCCATTCTGGCTTCCTATTTCATGGTTTATTGATGACCTGTTTGCTCTGGCTGATGTTTCTGACTGTGCTCCTTGCTTCCCAGGAGATGCCAGTTCTCACCCAGAGGACAAGCCAGTGGGACATGCTGAGGCAGATGACAGCTGACAGCTCCTTCCCTGCGAGGCCATAAACTCGCCACAACCCGCTACTGAAAATGTGCGGTGCCACTAACCTGTAACTGGGCTGTCGCAGAGAGCATTTTCTGCCGAGCTTGAAGTGCTGTGGAGGAGGACACGGAGACAGACATGTTCTGCCTCATCCACCTGATATCATCCCACATACAAGACAGCTGCAAAACATACGGCAAAATTGGGATTGGGTGCAGGGAGGGAAGAGAGAATGAATTTACCTTTCAAACAGTAGCTGTGGTTCATTTCACATTTCTGTGGGTGGCAGTGGACTGTGAGGAGTTGAGAGAGAGAGCTGTCGCCTCTCGCCACCCCAACCAGTAGCATTTCTTGCAGTACGCAGTCCTATCAAAATGGTTGGTGTATCCATGGAGGCCCAGAAGCAACATGAAGGAGCATACTCAGCATCCAGAATCCCTACCTTTTAGCCACTGCCTCACCAGCCCTTTTCTAACAGCCAGGCTCTATGACAGAAAGTGATCCCAGACAAAGAAAGGTGCCTGGACTGATAGGGAAGTTAGCCTCCCTCGTTGCCACCAGACCCCATTGCACACGTCTTTTCTAGGCAACTGTGGCACAGCTTGGTTTTAACACAGGGCTCAACCATAGCGATCTCTAGCATAGCAAAGCATGGCTCATACCAGTATTGTGCCCCCCCCCCCATTTTCTTTCTTGCACTTGAAGCTCAGCAAGCACCCCATCTAGCTCTCTGATGTCTTCCAGCTTGAGACACAGGTGGAGAAAACCAGCCCACCTGCTGGCTCTCCTCTGGGAAGCTCATTGTCTTTTCCCTTTGCATCCCCTTTGGATTCCTAGCACAAGTCACAGGCAGTCCGTGGCCTCCTGATCATGTTGGACTGCAGCTCCCATTACTCCTGACTCTTGGACATCCCTGCATGATATGGACACGCATGCGGCTGAGGAAGGGGCCAGGCTGTCGGTTTAGGAAGGAAAGTGAGGAGGGCTCCTACTGTACCTTGGTGAACCAGAGAAAATCTTGCATAATGGAGCTGGAGTGAGAGTCGTCTATCTCCACAATTGGAATCTGATCTTCATTGGTTACTAGCATGTTGTCTTTGTAGTAGAATATCACAGCTAAATAGAGTCCTCTGAAACCAAAATAGTAAAACGATAAAGGGAGTAATTAGAGGCTGTCCTGGGGAGGCCAAAGATTTCTGCACAGCAGTGCAGGAACAAATTATTCTATTTGTCTCATCTGACCTAGCAATGGACCAAAGCAATAGAATTCGCTCAATTGTTCCCAAGAGGGGGAATTTCCCAGAAATGCCAGGATGCTAAATTCTAGCAAATAATGCAAAATAGCTTCAGAAACACCACAGCTGATACACTTTTTTTTGTAGAACAAAAACAACTCGCCACATCAGGTTTTCTAACAATTCTGTCTTGACAAGTAGTAGTGCATGATTTAGACTTCTCTACTTTTGGAAATAAAGCTGAACATTCCATATAATTACACATAAGACAATGGTATGCATCAGGCAGAGATGGACAACTTGTGCCTCTCCAGATGTTTTGGCCAACAACTCCTATCAGCTCTAGCCAGCAAAACCATTGGTGAGAGATCATAGGAAATATAGGTCAACATATCCGGAGGGCTACAAGTTACCCAACCCTGCATTAGAAGTATGCAAAGAAACAAATACTTGTATTATTCCAATAATTTTGTTTGCAATATATTGAGTTCTTTGGAATTGGATACTCATTAGATACTCATTCTTTAAAACAGGGCCCTCCAGATGTAGTTGGATAGATGTGACCATCCAGATACTTTGGGCTACATCTACCACTGAACCTTTGCATTCTGGAGTATGTTTTAAGCTCCACACTCAGTTTGCTTGAGGTGCTAACCAGGCCCATCGGGCCTCATTATTGTGCCACATAAATTCAGTGTGTGCCCTAAAACACAACCAAGACACCCTGTTGCACATTGCAAGGCGGAAATATTTGTGGGTGGGCAAGCTATCTTTTAAGGGAAAACTGTCTACCACTATAAATCCTTTCACTCAAAAACCCGATATTCTTATTGCAGAACCCCTCATCAGTTTTTAGGGGTTATCTGGAACATGGTGTGAAGTTATCAGACTCCACAATTTACAGCAATGAGATTCAGTGTAATGGCCACCTGAATCAATTGGGTTATTTTGGATTTGCCCTCATTTAACAGAGCATCATTTTGTCTAGCATATCTGTGGCACTGTTTACATAAAATTAATTCCTTTTAAATATTTACATTTGTAATTAGTTACAAACATTAATCAGTGGATTTAGTGAAATGAAAGATCCCCAGAGAGCTCTTTGGAAAGAACTGACCTCTTATCAAAATACAAAGAAGAAGAAAAATCAAACTGAGCACTCTTAGTGATGAAAGAAGACATAATCCAGCCATTTGTGTAACTTTCGTTTAGAGGCCAATTCTTTGAGGTACAGAGGCAGGTAGGTTAAATTGGGATGGAGAACTGCCAACATATTAAGGAATTTCAGCTCTGCCTTTGCTATTAAAGAGTCAATAACATTGTTTTCTAAATTAAAATATACTACACTTGGACTACAGATAAATTCCACTGTAAGAAAACAACACAGCTGACTTTTTGAGTGCCTGCACTGCAAGCTATTCAGGGATACAGATTTCATAAAAAGTGAAATATTCTCCAGTGTAAAATGGAAATTTCCTGAGGGATCTTGGCTATAGGTCAGCTGTTTTTAATGTGATTACAATACAATACGATCCTATACATGTCTACTGAGAAATCCCACTGACTTTAGTGGAGCCAACTCCCAGACTGGTGGCTATAGGATTGTGCCTTATTTAGACTATTCACTAGACCAATCCTGAAAAGTTTGGGGTTTGCACTTGGCACATTCTCAAAGGACACCTGCTCCCAAATTAACTCCCTGCTCCTCAGTTCGCTTCCTGCTTCACCTGGTAAAGCTTGGCTCTGTGTCTGTTCCCAGAGGTTAGGCTAATATACACAGGAGCGTCTCTTTTTAGAAAGCAAACACCTTCAAGCACACTGCAATCCTATGCTCACTACTTGAGCTACTCAGGAAGGAGGAGAAAACTGAGATGAGGAAGCACTATTTCCTTTGCTCTATTGGCCCAAAGATGGAGGGACATCTTTTCCCCTTTCTGCTTTTTCCTTATAGTTTTTGTTTTTTAAACTCTACCCTTCACAATGCAGGAATGATCTGGGAGAGTAACAGGAGCAACACACGATCATAACTCTTTTTCCTTTGCATGTGTCACCCCTATGAAATATTGGTTCAGTCCAAAGGGGTGGGACTAAGAAAAATTGGGACTGTGGATGAGAGGTTTGAATCAGAAAGAGTGGGAAGGTTGAAGAGGCAGGTGTCTCTGCTGCTGCTGCTTAAACTGCTAAGGCCCTTGCTGACTTGATCTTTGTATAATTCCTATATGCTTGTGTTGGAGGGTTGAATGCACATAGTGAACTGATTCTTCTGGGTTATGGATACTCAACCCAATTGAGGAAGACATCTTGGATTTTTGTTTGAGCTTGAATTCAAAAGAACTCTTGCACTTTGCAGTTCTACAAGCAACTTCTGTATTAGTGCCATTTCTGAGGATTTGGGTGTACAGGTTGTGGCATTTTGTTGTTATAATTTATCGTGTTGTCTGTTATATAATTGTGAATAAGAAGAGACCTACTTGGTGAAATTGTGTTGGCAATGTTCAACAATAGATCTCTGAGTAAGCAAATAGCCCCATAGAAACTGTAAGTGCTACAAAGGCATTCTGTCTCCATTTTCCATCTCGGTGTGAACCAGAGCATTCTGCTTTGGGTGAGTGATTGTGTGACCCCAACACTAAAATGGTCACCCTCATCCATGCTCTGCTGGAGTCTGCCCACTTAAGAGTTCTAGGTTGTTTGATGCTATACTTCTCTGATGCAGGGCTTTTCTACATGAAACATTTACTGTGTGCTTGTCATACTGTATTCATGTTTGTTCATAGGTTCTTTAGATGGGGTGTGACCCTGCAGTTTTGCTTCTGTGTCTAACCAGCACTTTTGCTGAGGGTTTTTTTTTAAGAACAGGGCAAATGCTGCATTTAATTATAAATGCAAAAGAACACATGATTCCCTTTTCTGTATTCTCCTATTCCACAGCATCACCTAGAGGTTAGGCAGCAGACAAGCTGGAAAGCAAGCTGCTTGTCGGGTGCTCAGATCTCAACTTCTGTGATGAAACCAACAAGAGATACCTCCAGTTAACAGCCTCTCATTAGTAGGAAGTGACACATTAAAGACAGAGTGACTTCTTCTATCTTTCCTGTATCCTGGTTCTTTCCATTCTACCAGGTTTCCATGGTGAACCCTATATGTGTATTTTTCTTTCAAATCAGACACTCCAACTCTCTTATCATGGCCCCAAAAGCCTTAGCATTAGCAGGGAGGCACCAGCTGTGTCGAGCATGCATTTTTCCTCGGGGCCTTTTGGCTGCCATTACTTCCGGCCTATGTACGGACAGTTTGGTTCCATTCCCATTCCCAAATGGAACCCTCTCCTTATCTAGAAGCCCAGCTTGTTCCAGACTGTCCCCTAACCTCTGTGCCTTCATACCCCTGGTTTTGCCTCTCTAGCTTGTTCTGTGAGTAGAAAAAGTGCCCAGGAAGATCCTGGCTTTCAAAAGACTACCTAAATAAAATCAATCAATCAAAGACTTAAATTTAACTTCCAGCAGCAGTCAGGCAGAATGAGGCATCTCACAGGTTCCCACCTAACAGCTAAAGTCTGATGGCCTCCCCTTCCATCGCATTTAATGGCACGTTCATGGTTTATACTTGAAAGCAAAGCAGCTTAAATATACTTACCCACGTACATGGATTCAGAGGGATTTACTCCTAAGTTTGCATGTACTGTATAGTTCCTTCTGAGCTGCTTATGGCCTGTGGGGTTGCTGCCAGGTGTGGGGTGGAAGAAGCAGAGGCGATCTTTGCTTCTCTGTCCTCCTGCTTTTATTTTATGCTCAGGACAGGCCCCTGAGCCTTGAATGGTTACAGGCTCAGAGACGCCAAACGAGCCTAGGATCTCCAGGATCCTCTCTAGGATCATGGGATTGCTTTTTAGAGCGCAATCATATGTTTGCTTAGAGAACGGGTCTTTTCTTTGTCTAAACATGCATAGGATCACACCTTATTTTTATGTTGTTATGATAACAATGAAAAATAAAAGCCACATGTCCAAAATTAATGCTTGTCAGGCATCAACTGTTCTTGTGCTTGTTGGCCAGAACTAGGAATAGGTGAAAGAGTTGTTTGATTGCATTTTAATGCTAATATAGTAAAATCACAGCTCCTGAATGTGCACGTTTGGTGATAGTCACACATTTCTGAAAGTGCAATGCAGTGTACAAATAACACATACAAAACTGTGCATAGCAAGGTACATGGTGCACAAAAATGGAGCAGACAGGCAAAAGAGTGCACAGAACGTAGAAACGGAGAAGTGAATACAAAAAAGTAGGCATTAGGAGAAATGTCCATGAAACACAGAAATGTGTTTGGGCAGCCCTTCTTGGGGAAAAATTGAAGTGATGTCAAAACAGGAGGAGACAAATTGGTGGGAAAATGAGAAACTGCAGATCACACTCAACAGGTTTGTCTGTTCCTAGGCGGAACAACCAGAAGCTTGGCATCACAGAGCAAGTAATTAGTTAGGATGCATTCTGCACATTTTCTTCTCCACAAGTAAAAGGGGTGGACAAGAGGCATGCAGCATAGTCTACCAAGATATAAGTCCTTTTATGTTCGGCAGTAATTACCCCCCCCCCCCCAGTTAAGGGTATATGGCACTGCAGCCTTAGGCTTCCTTGGGAGTCCAGTCCATTGAATTCAATGACATTTCCTTGCATAGGATTGCACTACTATCCTCTCCTTCCCTCCCTCCCTTTGTATGTGTTTGTATACAAGCTGGAAAATGAGGAAAGGACATGAAATATCTTGGATAAAGCCTTCACTATCCTATTGGAAGCTATCACCTTGGCTTATATTGTACTCCTGAGTACTTAATAGTACTTCAGATGGTGCAAAATAGAGCTGCCAGGATGCTGTTGGGGACTGGTCGTTATTCTCATATAACCCCAGTCCTCTATCAGCTCCATTGGCTTCCCATCGAAGTCCAGGTTCAACTCAGGGTGCTGGTTATTACAGGATACCTAAAGGAACGCCTTTTTCCCTACATGCTCTCCCGCCCCCTAAGATTGGCAGCAGAGGCCCTCCTCCGGGGACCCTCTTTGAAAGAGGTCAGGAGACAGAGTACTCGGAGGAGGGTCTTCTCTGTGGTGGCACCCCGACTATGGAATGCACTCCCTAGAGAGGTCCTCCTGGCGCTGTCATTATATATTTTTCTGCGCCAGGTCAAGACCTTTTTATTTGGCCAATACTTTAACACATAATTTTAATTGTGAAATTATTTATTTAATTTATTTTAATGATGCTCAGTGTGGAATAGTTAATTTATCATATTTTATTGAAGTTCTGAAATAACGTTGTAAGCTGTCCAGAGACGACAGTAATGTATGGCACACAATTTTTTCAAACAAACAAACAAACAAACAGTTTCTCTGTAAAGGCTGAGGGTTATGTACCAGATTCACATCTGGGAGTTTGAACTGTAAAACTAGATTTCTATGGTGTCAGACAAACCTTTTCAAAGTCTTCACAAACTTGTTTGAAGAATGGAACAGATGCTTCAGGCTTCTTGAGACAGATTGCTTGCGACCAGCATTTTGCAGTTTAGAACTATCTAGAGTAGAGACATCAGAAGAAAAAAGGGGGAAATCAATAAAAAGCAAGAAAAAAGGAAAAGGAAAGGCAAAACAAGCAAAGCAAAGAAGAACAGTATGCATATGTGGAAAACAGGTGAAGTTAAATTTTGCAGAAATGTTATGCAGCCCATATTTTTCTTTTTAAACAAACATTTGAGCCTGCTGTTGCTTAATTAAATATATTAATTTTTGCTTTGGTTTTTTTGCTGTTGTGGTGGATACTTCTAGCTTTCAAAGTGTTTATATTGATACACAAATTGTTAAAGGCACTTATTGATAATTTCCTTTGATATATATATTGTGATCCACTTTGAGCAACTTTTGAAAGGAAAAGGTGCTTGTTTTTTTTTTAATCTAAATAAATCATTTCAGTGGCTACAACGGCAACAACCAAGAAATGCTTATTGGCATGAAATGCGTATTCATGGAGAAGGCTTCAAGATGCTCCTTTGATCCTCCCTCCCTCATTTATAACCTGCCCTTCCACTATGGATTCAACCGTCATGAAAAGTGGGGGGGGGGGACTAAGAGAAAATGACAGCTGATTCAGATGAGTGCTGTTTTCCCCTATATGGGCCTCACAGTACCTTGTGGGACACAATTTACATTGCAAACATGGGGAAAGGTATATAAGAGTGCGTTTCTGCTTCTGATCATATTTGATCAGAATATGATCTGCTTCTGATCATATTAGCACTGTTCTGATCATATTTGGAGAAGACCCATTCCCCACATATACACAGCTGCTGTAAAGCCATAGCAAAAGTAAAATCCATAGTTCTCCCGTAAACCATGTCATTTGGTCCTGAACTTTGAAATCTCCCCCAGAAGGTAAAGTTTCCCCTTGACGTTACGTCCAGTCATGCCTGACTCTAGGGGGCGGTGCCCATCTCCGTTTCCTAGCCAGCGAGGGAGCCAGCGTTTGTCCTCCGTCTCCGTGGTCATGTGGCCGGCATGACTAAACACCAAAGTGCACGGAACGCTGTTACCTGCCCACCGAAGTGGTACCTGTTTATCTACTTGCATTTGCATGCTTTCGAACTGCAAGGTTGACAGGAGCTGGGACGGGGCAACGGGAACTCACCCCGTTGTGCAGATTCGAACCAGCAACCTTTCAATCAACCAGCACAGCAGCACAGCAGTTTAAACCACTGCACCACCCACATCTCCTGCATTCCCAGAAGAGAGGAAGCCTAAACTTGACACAAGGTTCCCTTTTTATTCTTGGAGAGTATGGGATGGACTTGGGCATGCTCTTTCAAAATCTCTGATGAGCCTAAAAACTGCTTTTCAGACTCGATGGAATATAGAAAAGCTTCATTCTGGCAGAAATCCCTTCTGATTAACACCAATTTAAAGGACAGCTAGGAAACTCGTGTGTACCCTAGCAGGCTTTGTCTTGGAAAGGAAAAGCTGAACATAAGCTACTGAATTCTCTTCTGCAAGAGAGGCTGGTTACTCGATCAGTCGGAACCCAGTTGTTTTGATTGACAAGATAACGTTTGTATGAGGAACCAGGTTAAATTTGAGACTGTTATGAAGCTCATCTTTCTTTTCATCTGAAGGAGTTGAAAAAAACCCCCCATGATGCAGTATTAGGAAGAAATACAGAGAAGAGGAGATGATATTTCCTAATGTTGTTGTGCTAAAAGTAGACATCCGTCTTCATCTTCTTAACAAATTTAAATACATTTGTTCCCAGAACTCCTATCTGTAAGCATTTTGCATATTTTGTTAAAAAGATTAAAACGCAGATACAATTCCACCCTAATTTTCACACTGAACATGATGGAAATGATGTACAACTTTAGCATCATTATCCTGTTCAGCTGCTCAAAAGATCAAAAAACATTCAAATGGAGATAAGCTTTCTTTATTATAAATATTCTGGATGAAGGGAGGAAAAGTTCTGGGATCCACATGGTACTTAAGCTTTTTAAATGCCATATAAAATGACTTGAACTTATCCAGCAGTGGCCATGATATATTGCCTGAGCCTACCTGTTGTTGTTGTTGTTAGCCGCGAATTCGTGCCCGACCCATCGCGACCCCATGGACAACATTCCTCCAGGCCTTCCTGTCCTCCACCATCCCCCGGAGTCCACTCAAGCTCACACCAACTTCTTCAGTGACTCCATCTAGCCATCTCATTCTCTGCTGTTCCTTCCTTCTTTTGCCATCTATTGCTCCCAACATTAGACTCTTCTCCAGGGAGTCCTTCCTTCTCATTAGGTGGTCAAAGTATTTGAGTTTCATCTTCAGGATCTGGCCTTCTAAAGAGCAGTCAGGGTTGATCTCCTCTAGGACTGACCAGTTTGATTGCCTTGCTGTCCCAGGGACTTGCAGGAGTCCCCGCCAGCACCACAATTCAAAGGGCTCAATTGTTCGGCGCTCAGCCTTCCTTATGGCCCAACTTTCACAGCCATACATTGCAACTGGGAAAACCATAGCCTTGACTATACGCACTTTGTTGGCAGGGTGATGTCTCTTTTTTTAGTATGCTATCTAGATTTGCCAGAGCTTTCCTCCCCAGGAGCAAGCATCTTTTAATTTCTTGGCTGCAGTTCTCATCTGCGGTGATCTTGAAGCCCAGGAAAATAGAATCTGTCACTACCTCCATTTCTTCCCCATCTATTTGCCAGGTAGTGAGAGGACTGGATGCCATGATCTTAGTTTTCTTAATGTTGAGTTTCAAGCCAACTTTTGCACTCTCCTCCTTCATCCGCATCAAGAGGCTCTTTAGTTCCTCTTCACTTTTTCCCATGAGAGTGGTATCATCTGCATATCTGAGGTTCTTGATATTTCTCCCAGCAGTTTTAATTCCAACTGGTGATTCATCTAGCCCCGCCTTTCTCATGATGTGCTCTGCATATAAGTTAAATAGGCAGGGCGACAGTATACAGCCTTACCGAACTCCTTTCTCAATTTTGAACCAATCAGTGGTTCCGTGCCCAGTTCTCACTGTTGCATCTTGACCTGCATATAGGTTTCTCAAGAGACAAATAAGATGGTCTGGTACTCTCATCTCTTTAAGAACTTGCCACAGTTTGTTGTGATCCACACAATCAAAGGCTTTAGCATAGTCAATGAAGCAGAAGTAGATGTTTTTCTGGAACTCCCAAGCGTTCTCCATGATCCCGTGTATGTTGGCAATTTGATCTCTAGTTCCTCTCCCTCTTCGAAATCCTGCCTGTACTTCTGGTACTTCTCGGTCCACATACTGCTGGAGCCTAGCTTGTAGGATTTTGAGCATAACTTTGCTAGCATGTGAAATGAGTGCAATGGTGCTGTAGTTTGAACATTCTTTGGCATTGCCCTTCTTTGGGATGAGAATGTAAACTGACCTTTTCCAATCCTGTGGCCACTGTTGAATTTTCCAAATTTGCTGGCATATTGAGAGTAGCACTTGTACTGCATCGTTTTTTAGGATTTTGAATAGCTCAGCTGGAATACTGTCTCCTCCACTAGCTTTGTTGTTGCTCAGACTTCCTAAGGCCCATTTGACTTCACATTCCAGGATGTCTGGCTCGAGGTCAGTGACCACTCCATCGTGGTTATCAGGGATGTAAAGCTATTTCTTGTATAGTTCCTCTGTGTAATCTTGCCACCTCTTCTTAATCTCTTCTGCCTCTGTTAGGTCCCTGCCATTTTGGTCCTTTATCATGCCCATCTTAGCATGAAACGTTCCCTTCATATCCCCAATTTTCTTGAAGAGATCTCTGGTCCTCCCTATTCTATTGTTTTCTTCTATTTCTTTGCACTGTTCATTTAAGAAGACATTCTTATCTCTTCTAGCTATTCTCTGGAATTATGCATTCAATTGGATGTATCTTTCCTTTTCTCCCTTGCCTTTCGCTTCCTTTCTTTCCTCATCTATTTGTAAAGCTTCCTCAGACAGCCATTTTGCTTTCTTGCATTTCTTTTTCTTTGGGATGGTTTTAGTTGCTACCTCTTGTACAATGTTGTGAACCTCCGTCCATAGTTCTTCAGGCACTCTGTCTATCAGATCTAATTCCTTAAATCTATCTGTCACCTCCACTGTATACTCATCAGGGTTATGATTTAGGTCATACCCGAGTGACCTAGTGCTTTTCCCTACTTTCTTCAATTTAAGCCTAAATTTTGCAATGAGAAGCTCATGATCTGAGCCACAGTCAGCTCCTGGTCTAGTTTTACTGACTGCATAGAGCTTCTCCATATTTGGCTGCAGAGCACATAGTTGATCTGATTTCTGTGTTGACCGTCTGGTGCTGTCCATGTGTAGAGTCGTCTCTTGGGTTGTTGGAAAAGACTGTTTGCTATGACCATCGTATTCTCTTGACAAAATTCTACCAGCCTTTGCCCTGCTTCATTTTGTACTCCAAGGCCAAACTTGCGTGTTATTCCGGTTATCTTTTGGCTTCCTACTTTAGCATTCCAATCCTCCATGATGATAAGGACATCATTTTTGGGTGTTAATTCTAGAAGATGTTGTAGGCCTTCATAGAACTGGTCAACTTCAGCCTCTTCAGCACCAGTGGTTGGGGCATAGACTTGGACTATTGTGATGCTGAATGGTTTGCCTTGGATTTGAACTGAGATCATTCTGTCATTTTGGAGATTGTATCCCAATACTGCTTTTCCTACTCTTTTATTGACTATGAAGGCTACTCCATTTCTTCTGAGGGATTCTTGCCCGCAGTAGTATACCTGATGGTCATCTGAATTAAATTCACCCATTCCTGTCCATTTTAGTTCACTGATTCCCAAGATGTCAATGTTCAGTTCTTGTCATCTCTTGTTTGACCACATCCAGCTTGCCTTGATTCATGGATCTTACATTCCAGGTTCCTATGGAGTATAGATCTTTGCAGCATCGAACTCTCCTTTCACCATCAGATACATCAGCAACTGAGTGACCTTTCGGCTCTGACTCAGCCGCTTCATTCTTTCTGGTGCTACTAGTACTAGCCCTCCGCTCTTCCCCAGTACCATATTG